TCTTGCCTCTTGCCACTTGTCTTGCCGCTGACGAAGCTCCGGCGAAAGCTATTCATCCCAATTAGCTTCGGTCAAGACTGGCCTTTTCTTGGATAATTACATAAGATCCTATTACTATTTTTGAAGGTTTGACAACTCCCCCGTCCACAAAATATGTTACTACCACCATCATAATTCCTCTACTACTACTACTACTACTACTACTACTACTACTACTACTACTACTACTACTACTACTACTACTACTACTACTACTACTACTACTACTACTACTACTACCACCATCGCCCAAGAACTTGGTCAGTGTATTCAAAGGACCAACAAGGACGAGGAGTCATCGTGCGTGGATGATTTTGGAATGACTCCATTCCATGTCCTCTTTTCAGCTGCTGCTGCCGAGTCGAGTCAAGATCTTTTACTACAAGCCCTTTTAGACAGGTATCCGTACCATGTTCTCGGCTGGAAAGATGCCAATGACAAACTGGCAATGGAATATCTGGTGAACAATTGGACTCGGGGAAACAAGATGTTACTGCAAATGGCGCTGCACCGCTGGATGTTGGATCCACTCATTCGTTGGTGGGGTACTACTACATCCTCCTGGACAGACGACATGCAGAGGAGGATTCAAGCTATACTTGTGGAAGATCATGTCAAGAGACGCAGGATGAAGGTGTTCGTGAAGGCATGCTCCGTCTGGAAACAGTACCAAGCCATGGAGGTCACATCGATCTTGGAGATGGCTGTATGGAAAGGGAAACTCAAGGGTGGTGGTCGGAGCAATAATGGTGCTAAACGACAGGTGCTAGACCGAGAAGCGTGTCGGTGTGTCTGTGGATCCAACATTGTAATTCCGAGTATAGTACTATTCTTGGGAATTCAGCATCAGCAGCAGTAAGATAAACGTCGTTTCAATAAGACGATTGATTGATGGTGCAAGATTTCATGGACAATCCACCAATATTGTAAGAAGTGGCAACAGTTTTCTTTATTATTAAAATATATTGCTATCTTCTCTACACAACAATAATACGAATTCTTGTTGGCAGTCTTAGGTCGCTGGTGCCTCGAATTCATAATCTCTTTCTACCTTGGCAACACGAACTCGATAGGATTCGTACCAGCCATCTTTTCCTTGTTGTTGAGCTTTCAAATGCTCCAGATTGGCCTTCCACGATTGAATGGATTCCTCATCTTTCCAATAAGATACCGTAATGCCAATCTCTTCGCGACAAGATTCGACACCCAAAAAGCCAGGTTGTTCCTGTGCCAATTCCATCATGCGAGTGGCCGTATCAGAATAGGTAGTAGTAGTGCTGCTGCTGCTGCTGCTGCTGCTAGCATGGTTGCTATCGTTTTTATCATCAGTATTGTTATTATTCTTATTGGATCGAATGGAGGTGAAAATGACAGCGTAGTAGGGTGGTGGATGGGATGTCTTTGCAATCATGATGATGATACTTGGCTATTCATTCCTTCATTTCCTTCATTTCCTTCATTCATTCATTCTTGTGGGTTTATAATTCGTAGGAATGATTTGAATTTTTGAGTAATGTACCGGTACGAGAACAATAATGATGATGAGGAAGATGAAGGAGGGAGTGAGTCAGTCAGTCGTGCGTGAATATGATACGGATGTTAATCCCCGTTTTCTCCTTTCTCCGTTTCCTTTTACTTTCAGCAAATCCTCCTTCAATATAACCTCAACGCCATATGATGTTACAACGACGCAAGCATTTTAGAATTGAACACAATGTCCATTTCCAATCCGTTGATTCTCTCGTTGCTACTCTTGTTGGTGTTATCCCTTACCAATGGGTTTTCAATAAATCAAAGAGCAAAGCGATTGCCTTATTCCTCCACAACAACTACTAGGACTACTACGACAACGTTACATGCAGAAAAAGATGATAATGAGAAGACTAAAACAGAGGACGTGAACCCGCTTACCAAATCCTCATGGTATGCGGTCGAACTCTTTGGTAAGGTCTTTGGAGGAAAGGGCAAGGATGATAGTCCGTCAGATAAAAATGGTCTTGAATATGATTTCTCCCAACCACCCTCATCTTTACAGGAAACCTTGAATCGCATCAAGCTCGACAACGATCGATCGTATTTCTTGTCCGGACAAGTCGACGAGGAAATTTACGATGAAAATTGCGTCTTTCGCGATCCCTTTGTATCTTTTGAGGGAAGGGAACGCTTTGTGACCAACTTGGCCAATTTGGGATCCTTTATTACCAATTACTCGGCCCGAGTTTTGAATTATGACGACCAGGATCCGACCGTCGTCCAAACCAAGGTGAGTTAGATATCTTACGCTGGTAATAACATGTTTGATATAGTATAGTGGTCTTACGCTCTTATTCGTTTTCAGATCATGGTCAAATTGGAACTCAACTTGCCTTGGAAACCAATCTTGGCCTGGCCTTGGGGTGTCCAATATACCATTGATCCCGAAACTAATTTGATTGTAGACCACAAGGAATCTTGGGATATTGAAGCATTGGAAGGGGTCAAGCAGATTTTCCGTAAACCGACAGTCACGATATCATAGATGTATATAATATATGCATATATATAAATCGTGATTGTTGGAGAGGATGACAGAGGAATAATATCATGGGTGGACGAGAGTATGAGGCGTGAAACGATGGAAGATGTTACGCGGCACTCACTGAACGATGTTAAAACAACAGCGCAACTGTACGAAAATACTTTGCAGTATAGAGATGAAGCTACTGGTTCTTTCGTTGCAGCATCCATATCTTGTGATTTTGAGTTTCGAGACCAACATAGCGACCGCAAGCTATATATGGATATGAAACAAAAGCGCACATTACCTCTAGTCCACCCTTTTGCAATACAGCAGTCTATATTTATTCGTTTCTTTTCTTACTCTATACGTACACTTCTGATGGTTTTCCCTTTTGATACTTGGTCAATTCCTTTTGAAGCTTTTGCAGCGTCCATTGACCAATCAAGTTGTTGCGAATGCTTCCAGGATTGCCCACATTGGTCACCTTGGGGTTTTGAAAGGTACAATACAAGAGGGCCCGACTTGTTGTGGAAGTGTTGGCACCACCTGCATGGAGCAAACGGGAATCGAAAATGGCACAGCAACCTTTGGATATGGTACCTAACACAGTGGGTTTGCTCATTAGCAGTTCGTCCTTGGGAGAGAGGAGGTCATTATTGCCACTGGATTTGGTGTCATCTTGGAATTGGTCGTGTATTTCTTGGGAGACGTGAGTTTCAGGCTGTCGATGAGAAAGATTGGATTGAAATTATTTTCAAAATGATGGGATGGTGACAGGAAAATGAAAGAGTTAGTGAGGTGGGATGATGGAGTATTCGTAGTCCATGATTGTTGGGTTATCCACCAAGCTCATGTATGCGCTTTGCTTTACTTACCATCCACGTCGTCGGACCCATATCCAAATCAATGTCTTGCAAAGCAATGAAACAAGTATACAAGACTGGTTCCTCTTGATACGGGGTATCTGGATGCATGACTTGGCGTTGGCTGGACGGGTCACTCATCAGACAGCTCCATTCTCGTAGAATGGCGTCCTTGCCCAACAAGTTTTGGTAGGTATTTCCTACCGGGGAATCCACTAGCACACTTGCCAAGGCTTGAGCCACCCATTCTTCCACCTTGTCGTCGCATGTGGTGCCCAACGGAATGGTCATGTCGCACCGATTTTCTTTCAAGAGAACATCCGCAAATCGGGCGAGGCTGGGCAGGGAACCAGATTGGACCAATTCTTCGGATTCTTGTCGCATTTGATATACCCGCTCTCGAATGGTATCCGCAAGATCTTTGGACAAGACATTGTCAATTCGTACCACGCCTCGTTCTTTGAGTACTTTGGCATGAGCCTTGGCTTGGGTTTTCAACAAGTTCTTCTTGGCAGATCCACCACCACCACCACTTCCACCACTACCTCCAAAACCACCACCACCACTGGCACCCTTGACAACATTTGGCTCCAATGGTACTGGCTGATGTTGACTCTTTGCCATCAATTCTCCTTCGTATTTCCCGCGTTTTACCAATAGCTTTTCTTGTTCGGCATACAACAAGGATTTGGGATCCAGAGATAGTGCAGAAGTCGCTATTCGTTGCGGACTGATATTGGCATAATTCAGATGGTGATTATTGGTCTGTATCATTGATGGTGATGATTGTGCAGTGGTTGTGATTGTGATTGTGATTGCTGTGGATCGGCAAAAGGATTCTGCGACCTGAAAACTTTGGATTGTCAATACAAACGCCAACAACAAGGTATTCAAACGTTGGATCTTTCTGTTCATGATGACGGCTGTATTTGACACTATCGATCGATGTGATTCTTGTATTCTGATTCCAGAACTAATCCTTTTTCTTCAGTCTGCAAAGCAACCTTTGTTGCTTGGATAGATAGAGATCAGATCTGTTGACGTATAATATATATTGGTTGATGCGCATGGATGGTGATGAGAGTGATGGATTTGAATCCTTTGGTTCGGGTTCGTCAATTGGGGGGTGGTATGGTGGTACACGTATGTTTCAACTCTCCCCAATTCTCCCCAATATTCAATGTATTGATCAATCCCCCTATTCAGAAAACATTGCATTATGCATGCACATATACCGGTATCAATAAATCCTCAACCTGGTTGCAGCATCCCCAACCGTCATACTGACAAATACAATTGGATCTCTTCTTTTGCAACAGCGATCTTTCAGTCCGAGTCAAGTCTCTGTGCATGTCTCTCCGTCATTATAAGCAATCCAATATCATACCAGCACTACTACATTTTCCGCTCCTTGTCCTCGTACTCCTACTCCTCGTCGTTTCGCATCAAATCACGCCCATCATGTCCCTACAATCCAGCGGCATTATTACGGCATTGAATGCAGCAGCATCGGAGCCAGCTACACCCGCTAGCCGCGTCATTGACTTTTTGACCATCAGCCGGGGTTTGAAGACGCAAGAACGTACCGGATGGGTCCGTCAAGAAGCAAATCCAAAGATCGAATCCATTGCCGACCATTCCTGGAGGATTACCCTCATGGCCATGATTGCTGGCTTTAGCGCTGAGAGTGATACTAGTGACGAGTCTTCCAGCATTGACACCAACAAGTGCATTCAAATGGCATTGGTACATGATCTAGCCGAGGCGACTGTAGGAGACATTACACCGTATTGTGGTGTTTCCGATCAGGACAAGCATCAAATGGAATTGGACGCCATGACCAAACTTACCACTGGCTTGTTGGGCACCGCCATGGGGGCGGAACGAATCTTGAGTCTGTGGAAGGAATATGAGCAAGGGACTACGGAAGAAGCCAAACTAGTCAAAGACATGGACAAGTTGGAAATGATTTTGCAAGCATTGGAATACGAACAAGATGGTGAAAATAAGAAATCATTGGATGGCTTTTTCGACAGCACCCGAGGCAAGTGGAGAACGAAAATTGGAGAAGCATGGGGTAAGGAAATTGAATCTAGGCGCCAGCAAAAGGAACAAGAGCAAGCAGCGGAGAAGAGGAAGAGAGATGATGAGAAAGAAACAACAGCTAGCTAGAATTGCCGTCGTCGTTCAACAACAAGAATGCAAGTGTTACAAAATTACCTATACACAAAAATACTGTACACAACAGGTTACACTCGAAACACCAACAGAACACATAAGCAGGTAGTGGCATTAAACCTCAGCAGACTCAAGACCAACCAACAAGTAGCCAAGCCCCCCAAATCTCCCTTGTGTGCTGGTCCGCATAGCCACAAGCCCACATCATCCTACTAGTCCTTCCCAGATCCTTCTTCGTCATCCTCCGTACTACCATCACCACCACCACTATTGCCTTCTTCGTAGACCTTGACTGCAGCTTGAAGGATTTTGGCCACTTGATGGGCACTCCCTCGTTGCACCGGATCGACCACAAAGCACAATTCCATCGCTTGTCGAATTGCTTGGACGGCGGGGGAAGCATCGCTCACATTGTAGGGTGCTGGCAAGGTCGGTGCGATTCCCTGGGCCACCACCTCACGAACTTCGTCCATGCGTTCCTTCTTCATTTTGCCTCGTGGCGAATGGGTGGTCAGAATGTGAAATAGGACGGCACCCAAGGCATAGACGTCGACTTTTTCAGTCACCAGTCGCATGTCAACCTCCACATCTTGGGGCATGTACATTTCTTCGGGAGCTCGCCACCAAGGTTCGTGGAGCCGGGATGGAAACCCACAACTCTGATTCGTGTTGGGATTGTATTGGATGAATTCGGCAATGTTAAAGTCGTTCAATTTGGGTTTGCCTCCCGCCACAATGGCAATATTCCTTGGATTGATATCGTAGTGGGACATTAATGCCTTGGAGGGCAATGGCTCTCTTCCAGACGCAATAGAGGAAGGAGAATGAACTTGATGCACATGCGAGATCCCAGTGGCAACACTGGTGGACAGTTTCAATTTCATATATTCCACCTTTTCCCGTTCCTTCGGATCCTTTTGTTTGAAATTTCGCATCGCTCGGTCGAGTTGCTCCAGGTTGTTGATTTCCTTCTTGAAATAGGCAAGTTCGTTCAAAGCTGATTGTCCACAGTAGCCATAGACATCCATCACGTACGGACTCCATGTCAGGCGTTCCATGGCCACTGCATCTCGTCGGTGCAGCTCGTAATATTCGTCTAGGAATTCTCGTTCCATTCGAAGCGTCTTCATAACCAGTCCTTCTTGAGTCATTGTCACAGTTTTCGTGGTGCCACTTTCCTCCGTCGTTTCGTAAGTGTACTTGGTGAATGAGAATTTCCATGCGGCCCGAAACCAACCTTGTCCAAGGAACTTCAGCTTGTCTCGTATGCTTGACGAAACCATATCCAATTCGTGTAATTGGTTGCAGTTTATCAGGTAATCTGTTTGCCATGACTCTTGTGGGATACATTGCTCTTTTCGTTCTTGCAAAGGGTTGAGTGTCTGATCTGTTGTATCGACATTTTCTGTTGTTGTGGGTCCATCATTCGATTCTGGTTGCACCGTCTCTGTCACATTCGGTATTGGTAGTATCATTTCTCTTGGCGTTCCTTGTGAATCATCGTTCATGATGAGTTTCTGTATTGAATTTGAAACTTGATAGTAGATTGGCTTTTGGTCTTTGGTGGTGCTCAGTGTGAGTTGTCTGGGATGGGACGACGAGGTTCCAGTTGCCGGTGATGAAATTTGATTCGTCTCGCCATTTATTCTGGATTCTTTCATTTCTCGAGATTGCAGTTGCTTGATCTCTTTTTCCTCCTGTGGCTTTCTTGATTGTCTGTCAACTTGTCGAATATTCGGCTTCATTGTTGAAATTATAGCAGCAGGATGTAATATTTCTTCCGGTATCACATCCGTATAGGGAACCTCCATTTGGACAGTAGTAAGAACTTCTTGAGCATCGACTTGGTTATAAGGGCTGCCGTGATGTGTACCATGACGACTTCCACCATCATCGTCGCGAAACCTTACTGATGCTTCCCTCTCAGTATGAATCATGAACCATTTCAAAACACCCGCATATATAACAAAACCAATGATCAACATCCAAAGGATCCAAAAGCAATTGTCCCGTTTTGCATTGAGATGATTTCGAGAAGTCGGTGAAGAAGAATTGGATCCCAAGAATGCATTGTTGGAAGATTTACTCTTGGAGCTGCTGGTTCGAATTGGCTTTCTGGTTGGAGAACGATTTCCAGTTTGTCGAGTTTTTGCCCGTCTTGTGATGCGCTGAAACATTTGGCTGTTTGTGTAATTAGTGTACGCTGAATGATTTTATGATCCCCCAACCAGATGGAGCGGTTAATGTATACCGGTAGAATACCCACACAACCTGACAAAGAGGAATACTCTTTTTTACTCCAGCTGCTCTTCCTAGGTGTCACTTTCACACTGAAGCGATGGTTTGGTCGAGACAACACTTCAGGCAATAATAAGGCCTTCTGTTTTATTGTCAATCTAAAAAATCTGTCACGCTCTGTATCACCCGACTCCTTCGATCCGTTTGTTGCAAAAATGCTCTTACTTTCTAAATTATTATATTGTCGTTCTACAATATTCAATATATCCTTTGTCTCACTTGACGATTATTATTATACTGTGCGGTATAGTATATTCTATTAGGGAATGAAATGGAGACAGTCCAAATAGTATCCATATCCACTCTGACTTGGCCAGTGTGCTGCGGTGGACTCAATGGAAGTCCCTTCTCCCTGTTCGTTAAAGGTGGTCACCAACTGCCACGGCTCCCCACTTTCAGACATCCGCCGCACATTGTCGCACCATTCGCTTTCACTCAATCGCGGCAATCGAGCTTGGGCTTCCCCCGCATGCCAGAATCCTGGCGAGATGGAAATCGAATGTCCCTTGAAACTAGCATACGGCGATGCTGGCCCATATTGATGCCAATCATTGGGTTGGACGGGGCAGTCTTTGTAGCCACCAAAGAGCTTTGGAATGACAAACCATTCATCATTGCTTGCTTTCATCCACCGATCGACGACCTCGCATTCACCTTCATTCCAGACAAAGATCAAGGGCTTCCCGCCGTCTACATGTGCATAGGTCGGGTGCCATGCAAAGTATTTCTTGATGTATTCAAAATCGTCCTTGAGTAGCTCTTGATTTGGATCCAATTTCCATTCATCTTCATAGTATATTGCCCATTTGATTTTGGCATTTAACTCCAACGTGCGGTCCATGAGGTTGGTAATTCGAGCAATGTCCAAATTGGTACCGGGACCAAACCACGAAATGATTCCCAAATCAAACCTTCCATACTCCAATTGATCAATATGCGAATCCACTACGTTTGGGTCACCCGAAACATAGTAGCCCAAGTCCGGCTCAAACCGCGCCTGGTCGCCAGACGATACTTTCCAAGTTTGTGGATACCAAGGGTAGTAAAATGCTCCCCGAACGGGAAAGACCAAGTCTTCTGAAGATGGTCCTTGGTAGAATCCCTGGGGCAAGCCTTGCATCCAAATCAGAGTCTCCATGAATCGAACGCCAATCCGGCCGCCATCGTCCACGATAAGAGTCGCGCCGTCGTGTTTATGGGTTCCACTGCCCCATACACTTGTGCCATTCTTGCGAATGATTAGGTTTCCATCCGTTTGCATATAGACATCTGAGCCTTGAATGCCCGCGCTCCAAATGGTGGTGATTTCCAGGATGGTACGTTCCTCCTCATCATCGTTTGCAGTGTTGTCCTCCGTATCGGTTTCAAACGCATTGTCACTAGCAGTGGTATCTGGAACCCCACTTTTGGTAGTAGTTTCATTGTTATTTTGCATCATGTCAGCAGTTTCGTTGTTATTTACCATAATATCAGCAGTTTCATTGTTGATCATAATTGTTGGAGTTTTATCCTCATAGACAACTTGTTGGAGTACCAAATCACCTTCCAAGGTCAATCCCACTCGATAGTTACCAGAGGGAGAGGACGCAAACTCTCCCGGTTCCAAGGTTTCGGCTTTTTTGAGGATGACCGTCCCATTGAATTTGCCCACAAAATAATCGTTGAATATTCTGGGTTTGGATTTTTTCTGGCTATTGATTTCTTCTCCGTGCTGCCACTGCAGCAATCCAAGAGTGATGGATCCAACCACGAAAAATCCAATGATCAATCCAATGATCAACCGATCTGGCTTCTTCTTATCGGCAGGTGGTGGTGTAGTCGTAGTATTAGCAACATTTCGGCTGTTGTTAGTGTGGTGGTAGTTCCGACTACTTCTGCTAGTATTGTTGGTGGTGTTATTTGCAGTAGCAGCAGAAGGAGGGTTCACTTGACCACCACCACCAACCTCGAGAATCCTGGCCGTAGCTTGTTCCATATTCCAGTCGGTCTCTAACAATGCGCGCAACGCCGTATCTTGTGATACAAGAAGCATTTGCGCCAGCGTTTGCACTTTATTTTCTCGCACCAGCTCCATCGTCTGTGATTGTGGTTGCGGTTCTGGTTGTTCCGGTGCTTGATTGCTGCTGTACGGACTCAATCGTCGGACCGCCGATCTCATTTCTTGATCTCGTGATGGCGAGCTCAAGGAGTTCGCTTCAATGTCAATGCCGGCACGAGGACTCTCTTCGTATCGATGGTTGGTAGGCCTCATCACGCGACTGCTTTGCTGCGATCGTGAGTTATTCAAGTTCTGTTGGTGTGGTGGTGGTGGTGGTTGTGGTTGTGGTTGTGATTGTTGAAACGCGGCTGGAATTTGAATCTTGCGAATGTTACCAACATCGTTTGAATTCGTACCACCATGATTCAAAGCCATGTTGAATGATGCAGTAGAGTGCTTGTGGTTGGTTGGGGGAAACGGAAGGTAATTGAGACGCGGCAAGAGTTTTGTGTGTGAGGTTTTGAATTATTAATATTGAATAATGTTCTTCGGGTCGACGCTTCACATTTGAGTCGTAATAAGCACGTGCCGGCAGACGGCGGTTATACTTTTTTGTCAACGTCTGTCCATCGACAGAGACCATCACCCGCACATCTTCAAAACGGCAAATAAACTACAGTACGACACATCCAAAAAATGAGTCTTCGACGACTTACATGTACCCTTCAACATCTTAGAACATCACGACGAGGCTTTCCTGATATGAAAATCAAATGCTGCTACTCCTCAATAGCATACTTCTGTCTATGCTACCCAACCCAATCAGCAGCCCTTGTCGGGAAGAATACAAATACGATACCAATCACAAGACATGGAAGCACCATCACTTCCTACCGTTCACCCTGTCATGGTGTACATCGAGCTTCGAGTCGAAATCAACATTCTAGCCGACAGTACTCCTCCTCGATCGACGTAGATGGTGATTTGGTGGCAGAGACCTCCCATTTGCCAAGACTCTACGTGGAATCATCATCATCATCATCATCATTAGTGCTGTCCACCAATGCTCTCATTAGTTTGTCATCCTATCAATCGAATTATTTGAGCGTCATGAGGGTCACCAATACCAAACGATGGGGACAATGGGCTGGTCATGTACGAATATTCAATGGAAAAGATGGGGAATGGTTGGCCAAAGTAGTGATTAATAATGAATCATCAGCTTCCTCGTCTGAAACACCCAAGAAACAACGTCGGCGTCGACGACAAGGTGGAAATTCTGCAGGGGATTCCGCTACCATTTTGGAGTGTGTCCAACAGACCATTCCCCAGTCTTTGCCAATGCAACAACAACAACAACAACAACAGCAAGAAGAAGTTCATTTGCACATGGGAAAATTGAAAAAGCAACGGCGCAAATGGGTGTTGGAAAAGACGACCGAGTTGGGGATTGCAGCAATTGACGTGGTGGACATGGAATACTCGGAACCACAAAAGGAACCATGGGAATATGAAAAGCACTTGACACAAGTTATTGAGGCTGCGGAACAATGCGAACGACTCACAGTGCCGACGCTTGCGAAAACACCAACATCTTGGTCGGACCTGATGGAAAGTATTGCAAAATCCTCGGTCGCAAATGGTCATCACTGGCTGGTTTGTCGAGAACGAAGTCGCAACGAAACAGTGCCTATACTCACTGCCCTCAAACATATACATGATGGAACATCCAGCATGGGTGATCATGATGGTACTGCACAAGAAACAAGTTGCATAATACACATACTCGTCGGCCCCGAAGGAGGTTGGAGCCCAAACGAATTGGAGGACTTGGCCAATGCCAAATCCAATGGAAACAAGGACAACCTCCACTTTGTGTCCCTTGGATCGCTCGTTCTCAGAGCCGAAACGGCAACCATCTCAGCAGTTACGGCAACTATGCTAGCCATGGATCAGAAGCGTTCTTCTTAAAATTTAGTAAACGTAGATTAACCCCATATTATAAATTTTAAAAGATACAGTACATTGCACACTTGTTGTTGGTACACTTTACATTCATTCATGACTCGTAATCATGTCGATAGACTTTCCAGATTGCACGGCGCATCCAAGAGTTGTGTGGGATGGACGGTTCAACAAGTTGTAGTCTAGTCAAATGTCTTTCGTGACAGTTTGGGGCTGGAGGCTCCTCTGGTTTCGAAACATGCCGAACCGTTTCTGGTGGTCTGTTCCAACCAGGCTCCAGAGAGAAAAAGAGATGATGTGTTCATTTTCAATCACCTCTCCCCAATCATTGGACACTTCTTGTCAGTGTCGAATTCGTTGGACTTGTCCAGTAGTCCCAAAAGGTTGGAGGTCCAGTATCTTGCTTCTTGCGGAATTGACGCTTGTCCATAGTGATTTCGGATTCATCGGCACTCGGTTGCTCGTAGCCGACTACTAAATCTGGAATTTGGCCCGTAGTGCGAGATCGAATAGGCTTGACCTCCTCAAACTTTCTGCCACCAGGATCGCTCTTCTCAGATCTTATTTTCTCCTCTTCCTCATGCCGATACCCCGACAAACCTTTACCTGGGTGATGTTGCAAAACAAAGCCTGATGATTCTTCGCCTTGCGTTTCTCGCTCTTTGTTCGACTGCATTCTAGTCGTTTGAGATGCCCCGACAGAGTAGTTGTTACTCCTAGTGGTAGCTGACTTTACAAAAGGCACAAAAGGACCCAACAAGTTGTCGATTTCTCCTTCCGGCGATTTCGGCCTATTGTCCGCCCTGTTTCCCATACTCCTTTTCTGCTTTGCGGGATAGGCATTACCTCCTTGTCTATCCGGTGACTTATACATTGGGATGAAACCCGAGTCGTCCATTCTTGAAGTTGATTCATCTGAGGAAATGCGCGTATTCTCGCCATTTTTGCCACTACCATTGTCACTCGTATTATCCGCCAATGAAGCAGTAGAAGGCGATATTGGGGATGCCGACTTTGATGCCATCTTTTCTTTCGGAGGAGTTTTCATTTCGATTGTTCGCGGTACGATAAATTCATCTTGCTCATCATCCCCGTATGGTTGAGGAGCAAGACGAGTAACTCCTTTCCTTTCCGGTGAAACTGGAGAAGAGATGCCTGTTCCTGCAGGAGTCCCATAGATTCTTGCGTAGAACTCGGCCTCTATTCTTCGTTTTGCGGACCGGGCTAGGTTGACGAGATCTGGTGCCTCGGCTTCAGGGCTTTGCTTTTCATCCATTTTCGAAGTGAATGAGGTGACGACTGTAGATGCCTTTGTCGATCCTTTGGTAGACCCTTTGGTTGAAGTAAAACCTGTGGCAGTCTCCTTGTCCCCACTCAAACTTAATGCGGGGTCGAAATATTTCTCCTCCTCGTCCATGAGTGTAGTGTCAGCACCACACTGGAAAATATTTATGTTGTCGAAACCCTTGCTCTTCGGTGCCAGCTGTGCCTCCTTTGCTGCTTGTTGAGTGTCAGTGATAACCTCGCCCTTCTGATACCATCCTGGTACTGGCTTGATGTACTTCTTGCCGCGATGATCCACCCCAATGCTCTCTGTATTTCCACTTGCAGTCGTTGTGGGTGCTAGAGAGCCTTGCGACTTCGTTGATGTACTTGGGCGGGAGCCTTGTGACTTTGTCGTTGATGGACTTGGCCGAAAATAGAAACCGTCGAATGTTGCTCCGAAATCATCTGGGTCTGCCTGCTCCATCCCGGCAGAAGCTGGCTTTTTTCGGGGGCTTTCGCTCGCTACGGGAACAATATCGATGACTTCTTCCTCGATAACTTTCTGTGGTGACACTTGATTTCTTTTAACAGCAGGTGCAGGAGCTCGCGTCGCTGCCTTGGCGGGTGCTTCGGGCTTGTTATTGACAGCATTAGGAGCAGACTCCTTCTTTTCTCTTGAAACCCCTTGTTCAATATCCGTAGCACCAGCATTGCCTTTTCCTTCTGCTATTGTTTGCTTTCGAGGTGTTCTAACAATTGAAACGGCAAAGAACCCTTGAAAGATGACCGACTGCAGAAATCCAAATACGCTTTTTCGAAACAAAATCGCACTGTACAAATGCTGATTCACATACAGCACTCCCGCACATGCAAGCTTGGCATAATTTCCACCCAACACCCAAGCCAAATACGTTCCAACAACTACGAGCAGGCCTCCAATTGACTTTGCAAATTGATACGCAAGGTGCGTCTGTGTAGATTCATTTCTTGTTCCACAATTTTGACACAAAAAGAACAAATATACTGGTATTGACAGTAATATGGCGGGTATTTGATCCACCAACAAGAAAGGAAGGCACAAGAGGCAGGTCAACACTTGAGATCTCTTGTGAACGTCCGAATGATAGTACTGTGAACATATTCGAAGAATCTCTCCCAATTCCCCACTTGAAGATGACTCTCCGTCCCACAGCCAGTTCCCATATCCGTCGTCTACAAGGATTGGATGTCGTGTGAATCCTATTGCAGGTTCGTTAGATTTGCTACTTCGTGTACCAATCCGGTCACACGCTGAAGGTATACTTACCATACCAGAAATGCTGCACAAAGCTACCAATCAAGACAGCTAATCCTCCAATGATACTGATATGTGGTATTTCTTCAATACCCGAGTCTCTCACATACGGTATCTCGTCAATGACCTCTGGAAATTCTTCCAATAGAAAGTTCCAAACAGCTGAATTTCAAATAATTAGGAGAAATGTATCATTTCAACTCGAGCATACCATACGTGAAGTCACAAACTTACCAAGAGATAATGAACCCCAAACACATATAATCTCACTGAGTAGAAATAATACCCCCAGTTCCTTCTTTATCAGGAACGATCGAAACAAGTTGAACTGTAAACAGCCTATTTGCAACGTAAATGCTTCTCTGAAACATTTCCCACGCTCTAGTCGTTCCCTCAGTTCGAAAGGATATGGAAGTGCAACGATAGCCCCTTTGCTGTAATATTTTTCTTTGAAATCCCCAAATGCACTCTCATACGCCCTTCTGGCATCTTCTAGATGGACCTGACGCATTGCTTGTCGCATTGCTTGACGTTCAAATTTGACATCTTCACCTTCCTGAGGCGATTTACAAATCAATGAATATGCAACATAGACCCGCTGAAACGCATGATTCGTGTCTTTGTTCGCACGGTACCGATCAGGGTGATACTGAAACACATAGACACACAAGAAATGGAAAATGATGAGTTTACCGTTCTCCATGTCACACTCAGACTGCTGAGAACGCACCTTCCGTGATAAGTCTCTATAAGCTTTTCTCAATTCCTCTGGACTCCCTGATCTACCGCAGCCTAGTATTGTATAGCAGCTATCTGAATGGACATCAGGCTGGAATATAACTTCGATGGTCGTCATGTTGGTGATATATAAAACTCTAATAAGACAACCTTTCACCTCTTACAGTCCATGGTCCGACCGCTTCCGTGTCGGAAAATTCGGCGAGGACGCCGTCCTATTTAATCCAATGCTCGTGAGCGTGGTCGCGGAAGGATTGTAACGGCTACTCGGGAATTCTGGAAATAGCCCTGAAATCCTACACTTATGAATCGGATCACTGCAATTAACCCAAAAAAGCTTAAGTGTCTGCCATCTAGAAGAATCAATAAACAAAGGACCGTTCGCATCGGTTAGTGAAGAAAGAAGAAGCCAAAATCTCCTAAAATTCCCTAAGTACACAATCCAACGGATCGCTCATACTTTTTACTTAAAGAAAATCGTATCCAAGACCACTTCGAACACATGTCCACTCCCACAAAATCGAAATTCCCACTTGTTTATATCACAAAACTCCAGCTCGAGCAATATGTCGTTGACAATTGCCAACCCCTATTCTGCGACAGCCAAGAATTGTAAGTATTATCGCTCCAAGCGGCTATTCGGTATACTCCAATCATTCTGACACATGAACTCGTCTACTACTCGTGATGCAGCCATGGCGAAGATTCACGCTTTCGAAGTGGACGTGACGGAAGATCAAGTCGAGGTCAGCCCACTGCTGACACATCGACAACCAGCATCTGTGCAAAGTGCTGCACGTCAAACTACAGTATCAGAGATACCAGAAGACACACCAAGGTACAGACAGATCTCTGCCTTTCTTTCCCATCAAGCCAAAACCATCCTGGACGAAAAGCGAAAGGAAAAGAGTTCTGTCAACAAGCTCCAAAACCTGTCCTCTCCATCATGGATGAGAAATGAAAATCCGTGGAAGGAAAAGAGTTGCAAGCACAACTTTTCCCCCGGGCGTGAATTGTTCGAGAAAGTAATGGACCGCATGAACAAGGAAATATGGCAGTACAAGAGAAGAAATATTTTGTCTGACATTCAATCTGTCATTCTTGTTGTTGTCACATCCATGTTCCTTTATGGTAAGTTTGCGCTGTAAATGGCGACGATTATTATTACATTATTCATTCATCGCATGCTAACGTCTATTTTTTGAACTCGCCACAGAATTTGCAGGGCCAACCGTCCGATGGTCGGTATTCATTGTTCGGAAATTCTCGTTCCCAGCCGCTTGTGGTACGTAACGAAGCTGTTGTATACCATGAACGATGTGAATTGTAAAGTAGTGCCTTTGTCTTCCGGTATACTTACCAATCCGTACCCTCCTTTTACATTTCCTCCAGTATACCTCATTGTACCAACCTTTCAAGAGCAAAAGCAGCCAAACCCAGGACCAAAGGAGGTAGCCTTTGACGAGATGACTGAATATTCATGAATCTGAGAGGAATAAGATTCTAAAACTCTATTGCTGAAAATGCGCCAACCTATTCCACTTACAAGCAAGAGACACAAGAGATACACACATACACAAGCATCTGGCGGCACCCGTGGCCTCGCCTCAAGCCATGAATATCAAGCCGCAGGGGATGTAAAACCCTAGTTGGCAAGAAATTTATGCCGCTGATTACCCCAAGAATCAATCGCAATAACTTCACATTTGGCACTTTCAATCGTTTGGAACTATTGGAAATACAATGCTCTGGAGTATCCAAATCACTTGGGTTCGGTCCAAACGGGACGTCGAATATGCTGGTTTGGAAGTAGGCCAAGTAGCAAAAGCCAAATGTTCAATGAAATAATAATCAGTTTCGTTTTACTTTTCCCTAGTCTCTTATCACATTTAGAGCTAAAAAAGGAGCGGGTGCATTGCTCACTTGCTCATTTGCTCATTCGACCGCATTTGACAACTGCTTGCACGCCAAAGTAAACAGCAACTCCGAGTGGAATGATATCCAATGGAGATTGAATTCCAGTGGTCTCCATTCTAGTAACAAACGAACTGAAAAAGAGACCACCCATGATACCATTCACCACAACACCGGGCAGTGCTTGGGAGAGACCGATCTTATAGGGAGCCTCTTCTTGCCTCTTGGCGACCGATGCCGCGAGTTCAGAGTCAGCTTCATCAGAAGTGAATTTCATGGCAACACCATTCATACAGAATCTTTGCCCCGTAGGTTCCGGTCCATCACTGAAAACGTGTCCCAAGTGACCTCCACAGACACTACAAGAGCATTCCGTTCGAGGAAGAATGAGCTTGAAATCAGTGGAGAGTGCAACGGCATCCTCGTCGACAGGAGAATAGAAGCTTGGCCACCCAGTTCCAGATTCAAATTTGGTTTCAGTGGTGAATAGAGGAGATCCACAAGCAGCACACGTAAACGTTCCGGGATCTTTGACAGAGTTCAAGGGCGAGGTATTCGGTGTTTCGGTTCCTTCCTCAAAAAGTACGTAATATTGATCATCCGTCAATGCTTCCTTCCATTCCTCTTTGGATTTCTGAACAGTCTGCACCATATGGCTTCGAGTTGTCGACTGGATTCGAGTGGAATGGGTACTAGAGGTGACGAATGCGCTAGCTCTGTGAATGCTGCATAAGAACAAGGTTGCAATCGTCAACAATTTCCTCATGCTTTTTCAATTCGTTTTGTATGTCACAGATCGCAGATCTTCCATCTTACACTCATCGTCACCATCTGTTGTCGTGATACATGTCGCATTCGTCAGTCCTGCGATGTGGTCGAACTTGTCGATTTCCTTGATTCTACGAAGCGAATAATATAAGCGAAGCAATATTATAAGAATATGGGGATACTGTAGGTATCTCTATCATGACCCAAGGGAAGATTGGGAATAGGAAGTAATGGATGTATTTTCCAATACAAGAGATCAACCATGCGACAGAAAGTGGTCCGCAAAGACCAATGTGATTCGAATTTTGTTGGCGTTGACTGTAGTCTTGCTGTCGTTTTCACATTTTGGAAAATCGTTTAGAACCCTTGACACTGCCATATTCTACCCAGCAACCGACACTGGGGGTCCAAAAATGGGGAATGAGCAAGATAATCTCTTGAAGGTTTCGGATCTGGATGACATAGCTCGCAAGATGGAATCTACCGGAATCCTCAATGGCGATTCTGACAAAAAGACATACTTGATGGACGGGACTGTGGAGGACAGAGAAGACAACAATTTTCCTCCCACCACTATGGTGGCTTCGAGTCCAAGCACTTCAGAAAGAATAGCAATCGTTGTGCGATCTAAGGATCCCATACGGTCGGCTGTCCAAAGCAGGCTGATACAGATGGCCGAGATATTCCAAAAGGATGACTTCACGAATTATGACTTTCACATCATGATTGACCAAACGAAACACAATTTGACCACAACCGAAACACTGCAAAGATACTTTCGAGCTCACAATGCCTCCCATCTGAAAGCACCGACGGTTTTTAGTGTCTCCGAACAAATGATTCTCGAGGAATTTCCGAAACTGGCCTCGGGATACGTCAAAGGACCTTTGGTGGATGGTGGACCGGGAACATGTTGTGCTCAACCCCTTATGTGGCAACTATTGACACCAACCTTTGTGACATTTGTGCACTATCATCAAGAGTATGACTACATTTGGATCTTTGAGGATGACCTTTGGTCGGTTGGAACACCCATTGTCGAAGTACTTCACGCGTTGGATGACAAATTGCGAGGAAAGAACGCCAGTTTGTGTGGGTCGAAGCTGCGGACAAACGGAGTGCCATACACAAAAATGACGAAAGAGCGCCATACATATGAATTCCGCGACATCTTGATAGCCATGAAGGCAACTGCGTGGCAACGTCAAAACCGAACACTTTTGGAGATGGATGGGCAAATACGATCCCAATTCTGGAACGAATGGGGAGCCAACACATTGCCAGTTTGGAGTTGCATGTCCGACACGCTGTATCGGCACTCGAGAGACTTTGGAAACTATGTCTATGGTATGGTGAAATCCAATGTCTATCAATTCGCCGAGTGCTATCAGATGCCGTTGGCATGGTATGGAGGATTCCAAATTGCAGATATGAAAACGATTCTTCCAGACATTGAAGGTTTTTATAAGGACGGCAGAAGAGATGAACCAGGTATTCATGTCAAATGGGAGGACGTTGCATACAATAGAAAGTTGGAAATCGAACAGGCAGAGATTAGACTTCAGGACTATCAAACGACAACAAATGTCACCTCTTTAATTTATCACGAGGTCTTTGTTCCTTCCAATGGAAAAGAGTACCGAACACAACGGGAACATCACAATCTTTGTTCACTTACATTTGACTTCCGACAGGATAGTATACTTACGGCAGACTGCGAGAGGACACTTGGAACAGCAGGACTGCAAGAGGCGACAGGTGTAATATTTATTGGGAACAATCCAATCTTCAAATTATTTCACAACTTTCTAGCGGTGGAGAAGGCGACGCTGCTATTCCAAATAATGATGGACGACAACAAGAGTAAAAAGAAGAACAGGGACTACTATCGATATCCACCAGTGAATTACGATGAATGGATGAAGAACACAACTCATCTGACGAATGAGATAATTGGTAAAACTCCTGGGACTGGGAAATGTAATAAAGATTGTCATCAGACCAAACTCAGATGGATAACTACCAATCTCACGATGGAAGCTCTGCTGGTGGAGTCATCCCGCGATCTCTTCTTTCCTACCCTAACAACAACAACGTCCCAAGAGACAGTTGCAAAATGGATTTCAGAGCACTATCAAGACCGCCAAAATACTGTGTGCATCATGCAAATGGACAATCTTGAGATGATATGGGTTCCAAATCGAACGAAAACCGAATTCTTGGAGAACACAAAGGTATTTCTTGAAATGCTAAAGCCATCATGCGGAACAATTATTCGATTCGGATTTCTTCCCCACTTTTCCACAAGGAGTGTTCAAGAGATTGTGTCTTGGGATGAAGGTCTGCGGGACCTAGTGCTTGATGATAGCACCCTCAATGGATATTTTGTAGACGTCAGCAACGCCAAGAAGTCAAATTCGAACAATCGATATTCCAAACCGATATGGCGTATGTTTGTCAGGCTGATGGGGCTCCCATCAGCCGTCTTTGAAAGATAGCCACAGCCGGTTCCGCAACGTGGGACCTAACGACAGCAATATCACCAGAGACGCCTTTCGAAAGCCGCTTTCTTTACACATCGACAGTCAGAGGCCGAGAGGCAGGTAGCAGCCACCCATACAAGAGAAGGTTAGCAGTCTGGCCTGATGAATGGTATGATCTGTTTTCTACAACACACACATGAATGGCATGATCTGTTTTCTACAACACACACATCTAGTCTGCATTTCTTGATCGACTTCTTTATTTGCAGCATGCAAAATAATCTTATGCTCGACGCGCAGTCCTAAACGCAAGCATTTGCATGTCGAAACGCGAAACTATATAGCTTTTTTCGCCACATAATGATTGATAATCGACGCTCTACACACCAATGCGATCAATGCTATACGATACCAGGAACGGCCGGGAAACAGAAATTTAGCATACAATTCTTGGGAGTAAATGTTGATTTTCCCAGCCGTCCCAGGAGGTCCTGATTGCAATAGTGTTTTGATGTACAAAATGAAGTCATATTGTCATCTATGAATAAAGTTCTAGCTTACAATGAATGGCGTTCTCGGATGATGCTGATCATCAACGGAGACAACCTCTCATTATACAAAACGAAGGTATTGTGGAAAATGATCATCTTGGCTGATGCGCATCACAAAATTTTGCTGTTGAAATTCACAGGAGTCTTTTTACAAATGTCAGCAATCATATCATCCAAGACATCATGCTCAGCGGCGAGCTGTTCCACTTGAGCAGGGGTGAGCTTGAGGACTGGAGGAGTTGCTATTGAGGGACCGTGGACGGCCACACGGACCAAAGCCGCCTGAGACTTGGTCAGAGTTTCTTGAAAGTAGTGTTCCATCATGGCGATAATATCATCGCCACTCATGTGTCCCAAGAAGAGCTTCTTATCGACACGGCCTGGACGAATCAGAGCAGGATCCAATATCTCTGGGTGGTTTGTAGTCATGATCACGATGCGACCAGGAGTATCAACAACACCGTCGAGGACATTCAACAGCCCGGACAAGGACAAAGCATCTGGGTTGGGTTTCAAAAAGGAGGATAGGAGGGAGCTCTTGCTGGAACTCTTGCCAGTCTTGTCAGGCCGACCATCATGAGTTGAAGCGGAAGATAGAGATGATGCAAGTTTTACCGAATCCATCTCTTCAAGCAATTCTTCCGCAAATTGATCGTCAACTTCAATGCCAGTCTCGATCTTACTCTTGATCGACTTGGCGTGAAAAGCCAGAATGTCGTCTAACTTTTTGAAACGAGCTTGGGATTTGGTTGCAACTTCCAGGGCGATGCTACAAAGCTCCTTGGCGGTATCGTCTCTAGTTTCATCCACCAATCCAAGAGCCGGCAGATCTGCCAAACGTTGGTTTACCGATCGAAGGATTTCGGGACGCTGGAATTCTGCATCCTCTTTCAGTTTCTCTGATTTGGATATTAGTAGCTTTGTGAGTGACTTGCAATCCTCGGAGGAGCTTTCCAAGAACATGCGCCAGAGTGATTTGGGGATAGGCAACCTCACAACAGTACTGTCGTCCGTTGCACCACTCCTTCGACCATCGCGGCGCTTGACGATACTGGTTGTGGCATCCACATCTTCCATGACGAAAATGACGTCATTGAAGCCCAATTTGATGGAAACGGAAGATCCTTGGATACCATAGGATCTATCGAAAAAGATCGACATGAGCTCGCTGTTAGTGGAAACTTTGGAAAGTGGGACATTGACAATGGATCGTCCAGTATGCTGAGCCAGTGCCTTTATCAAACTTGTCTTTCCTGTACCAGGAGGCCCGTGAAGAAGTAGACCAAGCTTTTGAGGATATCCTGGGATTGCATACTTCCCTGTTTTATTGACAAAATGATCAAGCAAACCAAGAAGTCTTTTTTTCTCTTGGAAAAAGAGACTGTCAAAAGACTTTTCTTCGGACAACTTGTAGCGCTTGAACTTGGTGCATCGCGACTTGCTGCCGCGTTCCGACTTTTGCTTGTTGGATTCCGGGTTTTGCATTTCGTAAAAGTGACGAGCATTGGTCTCTTGTTTGCGCAGCTCATCGAGGTACCATGAGTAGGCAGTTTCAACGAAGGAATCAATCGCACCTTTCACTGGAGATGTGAGCTGGAAGTATGTCTCGTCATACACAAAGGTGCTCCCTTCTTCTGTCAAACCCTTGCCGATACTGATAAGAAGCTTTACAACACCAGCAGGATTTCCAAAAGTCCCCAATTCGTGCCATTCCTGTTGTGGGAGGTTATTCAGGACCTTGTAGCGGGCTAACATGCCTGCAATAGTTCGCTTTGAGCCATGTTCACCATCATCGTCGTCATCAAGACCTTCATCCTTGTCCTCTTCGTCATCTGAATAGTAACAGCAGTAATCGTCGTTGGAGGCACTGCTCGTTTCCAACTGGGTCAAGTCCATGTGAGCACGGACCATCTTGACATTCAGTACTTGGTGAATGTACATCTTGATTGCTTTTTGGAGAAGAGAATTCTTTGTGTTTTCATCCACATCAAAGGACTCACCCCAACTATAGCGGGAAGTTCGGTGGATGATGAAACGCTTGTCCATCTTTTCTGTTTTCTTCCAGAACATGAGCTTTCTCCAAATTGTCCATTGTTGAAGCTTATCGACTGAACCAAAAGAAGAAAACACAAGCCGAAACAAAAACGGCAGGAACATGGCGATTGCCATGTCTGCCTGAGGGTTCCCAGTTTTCAGTGCATTCATCATTCCGATGGGTGATTCAAACCCATCGTCGGTCCCTATTCCATTGTGACCTGTAGCATTATGGCTCTGATTCATTCTATGATTGAATTAAAATGGTAGGAGGGAGACTGTTGGAAGCGACAACGACAATGCTGCTTCACAAAAACTGTGAGATATCAATCTACAGTTGTTTTGAAACTTGCTTTGGATTTTGGATCTGATTTCAAACGTGCCTTTATTATGGGGCCACGAGTGTTTCAACTCGGTGACGGGTTCCGAACAGGATTCGGGCAATGACCAAGGACTGACTCTTGCCTTATTTGTATCCCTTCTGCATCTACAAAAAGCTTTCCACATTGTATGCCATTAATCATAGTGTAGTGTAGTACAACTCATCCGCACAACAACAAAGATAAGGTTTTCTTTGTGACATCGTTACCTCATCATCCTCATTATCCTACAGGTACAGATCAACTACCTTTAGGGGGAAGCACTGGAACGGCCGGGAAATAGAAATGTAGCATACAATTCTTGGGAGTAAATGTTGATTTTCCCGGCCGTCCCTGAGTACCGGGGTTCCCCCTGCAATTGCTCTGACGAGTCGGACCATCACTGATTCACAAAAGTTCGTAAATATTACACAACCTCATTCATTCATTCAACGCATGTCCGAAGCCAGCAACCGTCCAAGATGCGACGTGTTCTGACAAGTGTCACTCGCCAAGGCCAAAGGATCTGTCGAAATAGTAGCTTGGACAATGGAACTCTCCAACATTGCAATTATTGGAATTTCCACCTCCCGGCCAGTGCTGCTGCCAACACATCATCACCCTCCATGATTACCAGAGGGTTTGCTGGCCACAACAAGTGGTCTAAAATTCGACACAAGAAGGGCGCCAACGACAAGAAGAAAGCCGCTCTTATGGGAAAGGCAAGTCTGGCGATCACTGCAGCTGCCAAGGATTGCGGTGGTGACATGGACAACATGAGATTGCAGTCCGCCATTTCCCATGCCAAATCAGTCCAATTGACCAAAGATCGTATCGAGGAAGCGATATCCAAGGCCGCTTCCAAGGCAGGAGCCGATCAAGATTTTGAAAGCCTTCGATTTGATGCCATGATGAATTTCGACGGCACCAAAATTGGGTGCGTCATCACGGCACTTTCGGACAATCGGAATCGCACCACACAACAAGTACGCCATTTGGTGAGCAAGCATGGAGGAGAATTCTTGCCTACGGATAATCTGGCGTACATGTTTGAACATGTCGGGTGGATTGTAGTACATGGCGTGGAAGATGAGGATGCATTGATGGAGTGTGCGTTGGAGGCTGGCGCGGAAAACATTGAAGAATCTGACGTCGACGAATCCGACAATAACTTTGTTGTAACCACAGACGAGAAAGATTTGTTTCAGGTCGTCACAGCACTGAGAGACGCCAGCCACAACGTCTCACATTTCGAGCACCGATATATTCTTCAAGATCAAGATCATGGAGGTATGGAATTGTCACCACAAGGAGAAGAAGAGCTAATCGACTTTTTGGAAAAGATGGATGAAGATACAGAAGATGTCAACAATGTCTATCATAGTGCAATTTAACTCTAGCAGCAGTTTCGACCCTTGTTGCATTATCACGATCTAGTCATTGAATGTTGCTCGAATGGCAATCAGAACTCGGTGAAGGGTGAAAAGACTTGCCGCTCTTGGATCTCCTTCTTCTTGTTCCTGGCTTGCTGTCATTTTGGCTGTAAGGCCTGCGCGGTACCCATCTTTGTACTTTTGCCCTTCCAATTTGTTGAGATTGCGCAAAAGTTTGAAGACCCTCTCTTCGACACTATCTGCGAGTGTTTTCATATTTTCAAGCCAGTCCTTTGCCTGCTTGTTAGTCTTCAAGACTGGTTCAACCGATTCTTGCGAGAACACCTCATAGGTATCCAGGCAAGTCGATAGCGCTTTCATTAGACACTCTTCACCGGACACAGCAGCGTATAAACTAGCCAAATCTAGGCACAGCAAGACAAAGGTTGGCTCGTTGCCTCTGAGTGACGTTGAGAAATAGTGAAATGCCATGTTGTAGTGCTGAAATGCAGCCGACAATTTCTCTCTTGTCTTCGACTCGTCTCTTTGACAAGTCCAGACTTTGGAGTTGGTCAAGGCAAGTTGATAGTGCACGGCAGCTGCCTGATGTGCATTCCCCGACTGCTCGTAGATTTTGAGTGCCTTTTCCATTGGTTCCAAAATGGAACGCTCTTTCCCTGGATTCAGTCGCAGTGACTGAAAAAGAATGGGCGTATTGCCTCCGCCTAGTAATGATTGCCTGCGACGAACGGCTAGAACCAGAAATGTGGCAGCGAGTTCTTCGCTCACCATGTCCCATGTCATGGGATCCACGTCCCTTTGGCCCATGGCTTCGTGTGCAGCCTCCAAATGATGACAAGCTTTTTCCAAGCAGGATTCGACATGTGATGCTGCATTGGCCTTCTCTACAAACCCAGTATTTGTCCGAAGTTTGTAGCATTGGCAAAGGTTACACCGCAACAAGGCTAGATTGCGTAAATCTTTGCATTGACTGAACGCTTCCAAGCCATAGTCAAACCAGAATTCTGCTGAATCAAGCAAGACTCTTGCTGCAAGATTTGTAGACTCCGTGTTTGAGTCTGAGCTTCCAGTCAATAGCTTTCTAAGAGCATCCAGCAATGCTTTCCCGGTTTCATTGCATGCATCGCCGAGTCGTTTTTGAAGAAGGTCAAGAACGAATGGCTTGATTTTGGTTGATTCCTGCCTCGACGTCGTCTCGGGCGAATCGACCCCCTCAAGGATGTTCTGCAGTGCCAAAATTGCACGACTGTAGGAAATACAAGAGGCAACGAGCACCTGTCTCTTGTCTCGGAGCAGTTGCCCTTGTTTGGAAAGGACCGCTATGGCAGCCTCAATGTATTTTTCTCCATTATATTGCTCAAGTCTGAATGGACGGACAATGGCTGATAAGGATTGAAGGCTTACCATCCCCTTTGTAAGTTGTGGAAACGGATCGTTCAGAGTCATTTCAAAGTGTTTGCAATATGCTTGAAAGGAGAAAGCATCATCCACATCACGAAGCAGTGATATCACGTCATCACCACATGCATGCCCACGGTCTCTCCAAAGACCATCCGACGCGAATGACCTAGCAAAGTGTCCACAGTGCTCCCATAACCAAATATACTGCAACTGCAATCGTTGGATCCATACATCTGGCGATGTAATGTACTTTTGCAAGAAAGCTAACTTTGCCATTCGACGTGCTGCATTGCGAAGCTCTTGCATGGCACTAGAAGAGAAATAGTTTTGAAGATGGTAGTCTGCCAGGCGCAAGGAGACATTCACCGCTTTGTAATGCAATCCGAACAGTTGCACGGCAATGGCTGGTGGCGGGTCTCCGGTTTTTTCGGTATTTTCCGAGTTCAAATTGTTTCCCGGACCACTTCGTTTTCGACGGCGAATTGGTTTCTCTTTGGAAGCATTGCTATTGTCTTCTGGAGGTTCCATGTATTTGGCAAGTACTGGACCAAGTACTTTGATTCCTCGGCCTAGATGATCTTGAGCTTTATTCAACGAGTCCACTGACACGTTCGCATATGGTTGATGCGGTGAACTCTGGCCTTGTGGCACCGTGCTGTTCTTTGGTTTTGACGGTCCAAAGGTTGGTGAAAGGGTTGGAGATTGCGGAAGTACCGGGACAGGAGACTGCGGAGCCAGAGTTGGTGACGAAGGTCTTTGCCGAATTGGACTGGTCCTTCTGGAAGAATCAGAAGATGATGATTCCTCCTTTGTTTCTCCAAGAAAGCTGTCTGCCATGTGCTCCCGAACAGAAGCCACCATGGGTTCATGAGCGGAACCTTCCATGTCAAACAAGTCCTGTAACAGATCCAGTGTGGTCTGACACAGGCTTCGTTGCCGGGTTCGAAAAGCACGTCTCCTCATTGGTGGCATGTCCTGGATGGTCCACTCCAGATGTCTTAATCGCAGCGCAAACCGATAGGACATGGTAGCCAGCCACCAGATCCATTTCTTTTGCCGTTGGGATGATATCGATGAAATGTCATATAGCTGAATGTTATTGGGACCGTTGCCTGGATCTCTTCGCAACAAGTAGGTTGAATTGTTGCTGGTGCAGTTTGCCTTTAAAAAGCGCAGTAGAGCCGATGCATTCATTTCCATAATCTCTGGAGAAAATAGGTCGTCCTCTGACTCGGAAGAAATCACGGTATCAATTGGGGTGGACGTGTCCAATGTTTTGGAATGTAGCATCATGGAGGGAATATCTTCCGTCTGCAACAGTTTGACGCTCCGCAAGATACCTTTTTCCTCGAGGCACAGAGCTAGCTGGGGAATATTGGCCATGATGTTGTCAAGATAGGTGTCCAGAACCACAGAGACTGGCGAGCTTCCGGTTGGTGGTTGCGACGACGACGATTCAGGGGAGACAGAGTTCATGGGGGAGGAGGATCCGTTCAAGACGCTCCCATAAGGCCCTTGGGAAGGCACGATACACGTTTGCAGTGCCACTTGATCCAACATATCTGACGAGAACTGGTGTGGTCCATTTCTGCCATTTCCCTTTTCTACATTTTCTTTTTGTTGCTGTTGCACCAAAGCTTGGGCGTAAGATCTTTCTTCTCGTTCTTTTCGTGTCAGTTCCTCAACTATTTTCTGTCTCTGTGATTCGTCCTTTGATTCTTTCAATAGCGCCCGAAGCTTGTTCACTTCTTCAATTCGTATCGATACTGGTTTTTGCTTGCCTTCTGGCTTTACAACAATATTATCAGATCCTACCAGAAAATCCATGTCTTTGAATTTCCATTGGATGTATTCCCGGACAGGCTTCGAGTAATTGTCTAGCACGGATGATGACGAGTCGCTCCCTTCATGTTGCTTGGCCTGTTTTAGAATTCCTGCCAAATGTTGCAATGCTTCGGCCTGTGGATTCTTTTTGGACTGCAAAGAGCGCTCAATTTTTGGAGACAGGACCAGCGAGGAACTACTTTTACAGGAAGCTTCACCATTGATGTATGACGCCTCCTGGCCAGGTATTCGACGAGATGCTTCGTCCTTCTCCTGAGGTTCTTGAGAATCCAATTCCAAATTCGTATTGTCAATTATCAGCGTTCCATCAATGTTGTGTACTGCTAGACATAAGGGCTGATCAGATGCATGATGAGGTACCGAAAACAGCGATTTGACAGCATGGGCTGTGCCAATAAAGTCCAAGGACTGCTGTGGTTGGCATGCATTCGTGGATGTCTCGTCGTTCTGCTGCACCGTGTTCGAACTCGTCGTAGCCGTGATTCCTTGATTCGGCACTATGGACAAAGTAGACTCGTTCTTTGTTTGATCGTGTTGTGTGGTTGTCATTGTCATAACGAGTCGTCTTGTGCGAGCATAGCGGTTGACGATGACGACGATGATGGAACAATAAGTTTCTGTCTTTTATCACGTTTGGCATCTGCGAGAGAATGTTGGAATTCGAAAGCCTTCGTTTGTCGGGCGCAGACAGACGACAAAAATTCGCGCCATTCTGTTAAAATATGATGACTATTTGGCTTCAGCTACGAGGGTAGGATTGCCGCGTCAGCCTATCTTTTCAACTGAAGTTTCTCTAGTAGCACATCTAATCTACAACTTCTATCTACGTATATTGCCAATCAATAAGGTCTTCATATGGCACTGAAGTAAGTTCACTATTTCATTGTTGGCTCGTCGCTTCTTGAGAGCAAACTGTGAATCTTGGTTCCTACTCCTCCATCTTCAATATCATATAGCCGCTGACACATGTCCATTGGACTTTCGACCGCTGCACTAGAGCGATTATTGCGCTTGGGCTTGAAGGGACTGGGACTAGATCCCATTTCCAAAAGAACTTGGAGTGCTTCCACTTTACCATTGAGAACAGCCCAGTGCACCGCCGTTCCTGTTGTCGAAAGAAGAAACAGCAATATGAGAATCGTACAGACAAACATACTGTAACAAATCCCCAATACTTACGTAGCCATCGATCATTCCAGTTAAAAAAGTGTTTTGGTGTCACTTTACCCGGATTCTTGTCTTTCCAGGTACTCATTACAAACTTTAGCAATTCGCAATGACCAGACCGTGATGCACAATGTAAGATGGATTGTTTGTTTCCGTCTCGCATGGTCATTGGTGCACCTGCGTCGAGCAAATATTGAACGCACAGCAACCTCTGCTTCTTGTCGTCGGCCTCAGATTCACTCGTCGTTTCGTCAGTAGTTTGGATTCCCATACTTGCAAAGTGAATGGGAAATCGACCCGATGCGTCTGGCGAATTGGTCTTGGATCCTTTCTCCAACAACTTTTTGACAACGCTGGCATCCCCCTTTAGACAGGCAATGTGTATGGGACTCGATCGGAACATTGCTCGCTGCTGCAATCGGTCCGTTACCTTTCCCAACCTGCCAGAGTGAAGGTTGTGATTCGGACAGGCACCTACATTCAGCAGGCCCATTGCAATGGACGATTGTCCAAGCGAGATGGCTTGGACCAATGCGTCGTACAACACCTTTTGCTTCACTGCTTCTGCGTCTTGTGGCTTTCTGACATCGGCTTGGTCATCATCAGGCTCTCGCTCCTCCTCCAAGCTTTGGGATGATTCTTCTTCCTCACCTTTTGGTTGACACAGCTTCTTGCTATCCAACAGTTCGACATAGGCACCCAAATTCTCGCTTCCCAGCAGACTTAGGACATCAAATGCTCCAGTAAGTTTCCCATATTCTCCGCCAAGGTTACGGTTGTTTTGAACATTGTGGTGATATGCATACAGGGCACGGAGAACAAGGGTTGCAGTAAGCGAGTCTCCGCCCAGCATGGCAAAGGTACCTCTAGTCGTCAGCATACTCTCTTGTGATGGCTGGAGATTCAATAATTCTGTCAAAACTTCGGCAACTTTCTTTCCAGACTTGCCAAAGTCTTTCAATAACACGGGCTCTTCTTCGGCGGATTGTAGAGGACGACAAGCATCCAACTTTAAAAGTCCGTCGCGATTTCGTTTCCCAGTTGCCGACAAGGGCAATCGTGGAATAATCACAAATGCCTTTGGAATACAGGCAGCCTTAAGGTTTTCCAAACATCTCGATCGAAGGAGGGTTAGAATTGGTCCTCCATTGACAATCAGCCCAGAGGAGGATTCATCGTTTTTGATATTCAGTTCCTTTCGCGTATCTTCACTGAGCACACAGTAAACTCTGATTTCCTTTCGATCCGGCGACGGAGCATCAGTCCCAGTGGACGATACCACAGACACAACTTTTGCCATGCAGTGCAAGACCACAGGTTTTTCTTCACTGGAATTCACTGCCACATCGATCAATGCATTTTCGATTTCTCCAAGTTCGACACGAACTCCATTCACCTTGACCATTCCCTCTTCGCCAACGATTCGGCCACTGACATGCAAGCTATTCGTGACTGCATCAAAGGTACCTCGATCACCAGTTCGGTAGTGTTGTGTAGTACCATCTATTTGAAACTTGCGATTCAAGTCGGGTCGATTCAGGTAGCCAGATATCGTATCAAGCTGGGACCCATACAAGACAATTTCACCAATACGCCTATTAGCTTCAACGTCGATCAGTTTGTCTTGGTCGCCTTCTTGACAGATTCGAACCCCAATGCCTTCCAATGGTTGGCCGACGAACTGACCTTTCGTCTTTTTGGAAGACGCAAAGACTTCTCCACATGTCTGATACACACAAGCTATCCATATACAAGAAGGCATCGATAATCGTCAGTCACGATATGAACATCAAAGTTCATATGATGTTCATATCTTGCCAAATCCAACTTACCTTCCGTGACGCCGTAGGTAGCCAACAACCGACAAGGCTCGGCTGAATCCGATCCTTGTCGACCCCAAGCATTTTGTAGCTGTGCTGGAATGGGTTCTCCGCCCAATGCCACCACTTGTAATTTTGGGAAATCAGTTATTGCTGGTCGATGGCTCCTTCCATCCATGAGACTCCACAAGGTCGGCGTGCACAAGACATGTGTGACTTGCAACTGTTGCAAAATGTTGGGCAAGTCAGATAATAATGTGGACCGAGGAGCGAGGGCAAGAGTTGCCCTTGCCTGGAAGGTAGCCAAACAGTCAGAGAGACAAGGGTCACTACAGCAATGCCCCGTCGATGGATGATGATGAGAAACTGGATATCAATCATGCAACGCCAAGAAAGCAAACGGTGTCGACTTACAAGGATAACGCACTTGCCAACAAGACAGTAGAAGACTGGTTGATGTCATGAACCTTGTTTTTGGATTTCAAGTATTGTTCCAAAGAGGAAATCGATGAGATGCATCCTTTAGGAATACCAGTGGTACCCGACGTATAGACAATGTGGGATACTCGTGGTTCATCCACCAGTAGCCCCCCTTTCTCTGAGGTTTGTGCTCCCTGGAGTTCATGAGACAATTCATTGGCAAGGTCCGCAATGACAGTTCCAATGTGAGAGTTGGCATCCAAACAAATCTCGGAATGAAAAATCACGTTTTGCGCCTCGTCCATGTTCTGCGTGACGGATCGCAACAAAGTGGAAAAGTCGACAAACTCAGGAGTAATGGTTGCCAAAGAATCCACCATGAGTCGCAGATTGTCAAAATCCCGGCCGGGCACAGCCAGTATCATACTCGGAGTAATGTCCTTTAAAATGTGCAAGTTTCGTTTCTTCGCCTCGGACGGTTCCAATGGCACCAAAATGGCAAAGCACGATGCCTCTGTTCCTGCCACAGGCTGATTCAAGGCATGTACGACCAAGGTGGCCAATGGCAAGAGAGGTCCCTCGGGAATGGCCACAATCACGGGCATGCCACGTTTTCTTCGATTGTCATCACCAGCTTGTTGTTCGAATCTGCCCGTTAACTCGTTGCGAAGTTCTACAACCATCAAGGCAGCCGTCGCAAAAAGAGTCTGATAAGAGATGTAATGATTCTCATGCCACGTTTGGTTGCTATTGCTTCTCTTATTATTATTGTCCCTACTTCGACTGCCATGGTCATGATTTTTGTCAGTCGTGGAATCATCGTCATTCTCAAGAGGTGCTCGAGTAGGAGTAGGAGTAGCTCGTAGGATTGATAACCACTGATCATCCCAATAGCAACTATTTGAGTCAATCATGGAAGGATCCCACACCATGGAAGCTTGATTGAGCCAGGTCGATCCCTGAGGATCATGGAGGGTCTTGATTGATGATGATGATGATGGCGGTGATGAAGGCATACTGATCGTCATTGTCAAAGCGTGGCAAGAATAATACTGCCAAAACCAGGACACTTTAGGCGGAACCAGCAATTGGACAATTGCAAATAATACCACTAGAAAATCGATTCGTTTCTGTCTATCACCATAAAATAAGCATAGTTTGGCACGATGCATGCATGCGCACCACCAACACAGTTGAGAAGGTAAAGTTATTGTTGATGTATCCTTATTTCATGCGATGATGTCGGTTATTGTCATTTCGAACGGATCATCGACTCATTCGATTGGTCGAAATCTGCTGTCGGGGTGCATACTGTATGCTGCACCGGTATGCTGTACCCATATTTACAGAAGTGTATTAGGAGAATTTTGAATAAGAGAATGATACCTATTTCTTCATTATTCGTGGGTTCATTCATTCATTCTGCTCATCATTTTGTCATTTGACACACATCATCACCCATTGCCATTACCACAATGAACGAATTATCATCCAACCAACCTGATGCCATTGCAGAGGGGAAGCCCGTGCCTAAACGAAAGAGAGTGACGTTTGCTTGGAAGCAACAAGTCCTTCACATGCTGGAAGAGGATGGTGCCACCCCGCACAGTGTTTCCGAAGCCACGGGTGTCAACGTTAAGACCATTTACAGTTGGAGGGCTAAGAAAGAGGATATTATTGTCCAGATCGATGAAGAAGAAGCAGCCACGAAAAAGGCATCCAGAAAGGAGAGGATGCCATTATTGCAGAAAATGATGGTTGCGTGGCTCGAGACCTGGCTACAGGCATCCCCCGACAAAAGCCTTTGGCCGACTCAAAAAGAAATTCAGACACAAGCCTTAAAGATCAAGAATGAGATTCTAACTAGTGACTCTGCTGAAGTTTCTCAAGAAGAGAGAAACCATCTGGGATTTTTCAATGCAAGCTTGGGCTGGGTGACGAAATGGAACAGAAAGCATAACCCTGCCAATCAAAAACCTGATCCTGTTGTGAATGTCGAGAGAATGATTCCGCGCCCCAGGGTGGAAGTGATGAAAGGGAAATCAACAGCAGCAGCAACAACAAAGGAGGTGTTGGAAAGTCGTGTCGTCGATCAGGAAGATATCACAATAGACGATATTCTTCCTCCAAGTGGTGGTGGTGCTTCACTCTCAGATGCTGATTCGTCTGACGACGACAACGACGACGAAGATGAGACATCATTAAAATCTCCATTGGACCTAGATGCTGCCAGCCTAACAAAAGGTTTGGCCAAGTATGAAAAAATCCTTCGCGAGCATCAGATTGAGGAAGCTGCCGATGCATTGCAAGATGCGAGATATGCCATTTTTCGCACACGGCGGGACTTGCAACGAGAACAGAAACTTAAAAAGCGAAAGAATAAGCCCCAACAACAAGCAAACGCCCTCGCTGCAAATTTGCAAACAGCAAAGAAGAAATCTAAACCTAATTGACGCTGTTCATTATCTGCACTGCATGACTGACTCATTCGATCGATTGTAGGATCCAAAAAGGCCTATTTTCGGTAGAACTGCAAGCAATACTGTACTATGACCTTCTACATTTTTATAAAAGAAGCGAAGGACCCCAAAGAGAGCAAAGGTTGGCACGCCACGCTGAAGGAAATTACAGAAAGTATATTTTTATATATTATAATGTAGGCATGTGATGAGTTATAAAATTACATTTGTTCAAATTATTGGATTTATCGTGAATTTGTTCGTGAGGTCGTGGTCGTTCGTCAACCAACCAACCAGTGTGGTAGAGCAATATTTCTTTCTCTATGCCTGCTTCTTGGCAGCATCCTTGCGCTTGGGCACATCGTTAAAGGACTTGTAGTATTGAATACCAGTCACGTCATCAACGTAGTGGCAAGTGTTGGCAACTCGCCACATGGCCTTGTAGAATGGAGCAGGATCGTAGTTGTACAATCCCTTGGGTTCCAAAAAGGCCTTGATAGCCGCAGTGGCTTCTCGGGCATTGTAGTGGGGCATTTCGTGGAACAAGTGGTGGGCCACATGGGTGGAACCAATCTCGTGGTGGAAAAAGTCAAAGATTCCATAGGGACGATCAATGGTACTCAAGGCACCCTTGACCCAGGTCCACTCACCATCACCGTATTGGGGAACGGAGGGGTCAGTGTGTTGCAACCAGGTGTAAAGAACCAACCATCCATTGACAACAAAGTATGGGTTCCAGAACCAAAGAAGAACGGGCATGAATCCGTACTCTTGGGGAGCAACACCAAGGAGGTAAGCAAGAGAGGCCAAGGTGGTGAGGGTGGATAGTGTGATCTTGGCACTGATCTTTTCAGGGAACATGGGGGAGCTAGGACGGAAGTGATCCATGATGCGTCCATCCAATGGTTGTCCCTTGACGTCAAGCTTTCCAGTGGAAGCCAATCCCAAGAGGTAGAGTGGCCATCCAACGCACAAGTGAGCCCAGATTTGGAAGGCAGCAAAGACACCATCTCCCATGGCCTCATGCCACACGGCGTAGAAAGATTCGCGTTGGTTGTTCACAACTCCATTTTCTTCACCAGTGGTGGGAACGTGAGATTCACCATCGGTCAAATGGTTGGTGCGACGGTGGTGTTTGGCGTGAGTGTATTGCCAGGCAAAGTATGGAACTAGCAAAGCCTGGTGGACAATGAATCCCACAATGTCGTTCCAGGTTTGCGAAGGAGAAAAGGCTCCGTGTCCGCATTCGTGTCCAACCACCCAAGGACCGGTCATGATGGTGCCCATCCAAAAGGCATAGAAACCCCAGCCAAAAGTCCAAGTCAAGACAGCGACAGGGTCGGCAAAGTTGGGCAAGTCGGTAGACAAGACCTTGGAGGTGACGTAGACAAAGCCAGCAGCCATGGCAAAGTCTCTAACAAGGTAATACATACTCCAGAAGTAGGAACGTTCGAAGCAATGCTTGGGAATGGAGGCTTTGATTTCTCCCTTAGTGGGAAGAGTTGGTGCCTTGGCATCCGTGGGATCGTAAGGAGACTTCCATACTCCCTGTTCGGATAGCTTCTTGACTTCGGCGGTTCTTCCTCCTTTTCCCATTTTGTATCAGTTGCTGTTTTTGTGTTGTTCTTGTTGTTTATGATACGTGATACGTGAAATGCAAAATGACAAAAAGCCAAAAAGATGTGGTCGAAAAAGGAGAAAGGAAAAAATTCATCCAAAAGCCGAAACATGGTCGTGTACTTTGGCCACGTACGACACAAAACCAAAATCCGATCCCCTCGAGTACCTGGAGCACTTTCGATTGGATATATCATGTCGCAGGCACTGTCCACCATGGTGATGAACAATGGATCTTCATGTTGCGTCACCAATTTCAAAAAAAATGTCGTTCCGCCGAAACCACGTCAACCTCAACCCATCGTCTTCGCTATTTTAGTACCAGCACCGGTAGAAATACAGACGTTTTTGGAATTCCGACGGGTCGAGAATTACTGTATAGTATTTGGAGAAGGTATTTTGGAGAAGAAATTTATCATTATTCTTGTCTGTAGAGCTTGGACTGAGCTATTGTTTTCGCTGTCCATATTGTAGTGTTGTGTTTTATGCAGTTATCAAAATCAAAAATTATTCGTACTAGGTACTACTTTCAATACCAATGATGTAGCCCTTCCGGCGTCAACGCAACTTGACCTGTCTGCCCTTTTCGATCGATTACTGCTCCCACATCCACAAGTGCCTGGTACAGCTTTTCATCGTATCGAACAAACTCGATTGGCACAGTTGTCATGGTGAAACCTTCAAGTAACAACACCTGATACATGGCCAGGACGTCTTGTTTGGACTTGGAATACTTCATCCAGTCGTCCTCCCCAGCCTCTTGTTTTGCGCGTTCCTTTGCCAACCGGAAAGATTGGTTGGTTGTGGTATAGTCCGCTCCATAATCTTTTCTGTAATAACGCAAATTATCCCTGGCAATGGCAAGTCGGCAGGTCACGTCAAGATCAGGGTCGTCCATATGAACAATGGTTTCCACATCGTCGTCACCGTCTTCGTCTACCACTTTGCGATAGACTCCAATGTACAATCGGCCAGTTTTGGCGTCTTTGCCATGCCAATGGCGTTTGTGTGGTGTCGTGGCACACTGGACGAACATGTGGAATTCTTTTTGGGTGGAATGCTTTCGATCTCTCTTGGAAAAGGCCAAGGTATTCACGAGACCCGTGTCCCCTGGAAATCGTGGCGAAAAGAAATTCCACGTTTCGTTGCCGGCCACGTAAAATTCCTGTTTGGCAATGAACGGGTTTGGTGCTCCGTGATAATCAGGTGGATTGACCGAAATTGGCCATGGTTCTGTTCCTGTTCCTCCCAATATCTTGGTCAAACATCCCTTGTCACAACCACGTCGAAAGACATACCGACCCTTGCCAGTGCGTGGATCGGTATTGGCCTGAATCCATTGATCCATGCATTTCTTGCGCTTGTCCCGTTCTTCCGGCGACAAAGTGGTAGCGCCACCTTCGGCTTTGATCCGAGAATCATTGCCCATGGTGGTCAATACTTCCCGGCGGACCTCGGCGACTCGGCTACTACTGCTGGGTGCTGGATCGGGTGTGGGTCGTTCACTGTTGCCAGTGTTGCTATTGGATGCCTCACCACTGATATCACTGCTACTACTGGGAGCGTTCTCGGGAGTCACCACACGTCGTTGCCGTCGTCGTCGTCTTGCTTGGATTCTAGCTGCTGTTGTTGCACTGCTGGAAGGAGGTTGATCCGGAGTAGGGGTGTCGCTCTGTGCTGTTTCTGGAGTGACTGCTATTACTCGGTTGCGACTACTTGTTGTTCTCGATGTCGTTGGCGACGAGGCAGTAGTCGTTGTTGTATTCTCAACTTGTTGTCGACGATCTCGCTCGCCCTCTTGCCAGTGATACTGTTCCTCTGTAGCAATACCATCCTCGGCATTGTGCTCTTCCACATAGTCTCCGTCATCATATAATATCTGTTGGTGTACATTATGAAATACAGTATTAGACACCGTGACCATTCAAAATCAACATCAGCATACTGTTTAATCTTCTTCTTCTTTGTTGTGGCTCAGCATTCTGGACCTACATACTTACCGAATAATAGAGATGATCATCGTTCTTGTGGAACTTGTCCATGACCTCCCCCCAATACCACTCTTCATTTCTGAAGCGGGCATACACTCGATCTCCAATTTCCGGTTGCAATTGTTCTATGTTGGCGTTTGTCCTCTTGTTGTTGTTGTTATTGTTCAGTTGGGCTTGATTCTCAGTGGCAATGCCGTTTGCGGCCTTGTGTTCTGGATCAAAGTCTCCGTCATCGTATTGGATCTGTTGTCAGCAGTCCGAGTTCAATTATGATTATTTGTGTGAGACAGGCACTACTCCATACTACATTTGGATCACCATATTAGTATGGAAACTTACCGAATAGTAAAGATCGTTGTGTTGGTAGAATTTGTTGGTGGCCACTCCCCAATACCACTCTCCGTTGCCACTGTAGCGGGCATATACTCGATCTCCAATTTCCGGTTGTTCTAGCTCTATATTGTCGGTCACAACCTTTGTTCTCTTGGGAGCTCTTTCATTAGTCGCCATGCTTTTTCTGGATCTATTGGTGGTGGGGATGATGATGGTGATGGTGGTGTTGCAACGGATTAGAGTACTGTATGATGCAATAATCCTTTGGATATCATATCCAAAATCTTTTTGACATCATCGTAAGCAAAGCAGACGATTTGGCACTAAAGAAGGCTTGTTCAATAATCCGACTAGTCCACAAAGTCCAACACGCGGAACTCGCCAGAACGAGATTTGGCGATATCTTTGGTATTGCGGCTGGTAATGAACATGTATTTTTTACGGGAATCAAAACGTGGCAATGCCAATGTCGCAATAAATATAGCGAAACGCTCGCCGACGCAAACGGATTGCGCACCCTTGCAAATGTGCATCCATTGTGTGATTATACTTCCAACACTTTTGAAAATTTGCACGTCCAACCGACTCGACTCTTAATCCATTCATTCATTCTTCTACTGGCTGCTCTTGACCTCAAAAGCATTCCTTTACCACCACCACCACCACAACAAATAGCAACAAACATCATGGGATTGTTTAGCCGAAAGAACAAGAGTTCCAAGAAGAACAACAACAAGAAATCCAAGAAACACATGTCAAGTGATGACAGCGTTTCCTTGCTCCATCAACCCGATGAAACTCGACAGGAGGTTCCCATGAACCCAGGACCTCCCATTCGAACCTTTGATACTTTGAAGCAACAAGTGACAGAAGATAACTCCATTCAAGAAATCCACGCGAATTATTCCAAAGGGACTGTCCCACCCCCGGCTCGACAAGCTGCCTTTCACGGTCCACCACGCTTCGATTGGATGGATATTGTAAGTAACTGTTGTCGCAAAGGATCTTTTACTCTGCATTGGATGGAACAGAGCAAACCTAACCTTATGTATATTCTACTTTAACAGGAATCCAATGCTGCCATTAAAATTCAATCGGTCCAACGCCGCAACATGGTCATGCAGGAATTGGAAGACAAGGGCATGTCCACGGCGGCCATTCGCAATCGCAAACGCCGCCGCAAGGCCGCCAAGGAAGCCCATCCTTATATGGCATCCCAATCCCAAGATACCCCCAGTATTTTTGCTTGCTGTGCGGTGGGCTTGGCCTTTGGGGATGCTACGGAAGATGGAGATGATGCCTATCGCTTGCTGGAAAAGAAAAAGTACGAAGAGCGACAAAAGCAACAAGCAGCTCACGAAGAAGCGCTCCGTCGACAATATATGACCAAACATGGTATCAACCCAGGAAAGATTGTGGAAGCACTGGAAGTTGTCGATTAAGAAACTTCTTTTATGTTATCAAGTTTGTATTGATGACTGGAGGGGAAATGTTATTTATATAGAGGAACGAACGAAATAGAGGTTGAAAGATACCTTGCTCCCTCAATCGTTGTGTGAGGGAGATTCCAAATGTTGTTATTCAAATTGATTGTGATGAATATAACAATTGTTGCTGAATGGATCATCAACAGCATTACAGTCCCAAACAAAACAACAGAGAAAGGCAGACGGACACTTTTTGTATGAAGTGGACCCGCTATTTGGCTTTTTGGAGGATATTTGGTAAAAGATTATTTTTGTAATATGCAGGATAGATATTATAAATTATTGTTTGCGATTGATATTGGACATGCTAATACTATTAATAAAATACAACAGTGGTACAAGTACCTAGGTGGGCGTCGCCAAAACAAAATGATCAAGCCTTCACTCTCTTGCAACATATGAGTGTCCCCGATGCGAGTGTCCCTTATACACGAGAAAGAATCAACAGAATTGAGCATTTTGTTGACTTGATCCTATGTGCCAATATACTTTTTTTTGGGAAAAAACACAGGACGACAGCTCGAGCGTTGTGTTGCAGAAAGAATCAATAGATCAATTGCATGCAGTGTCAACCAAAATAATATATTTTAGCCATCTCAGACATTTAGGTTCAACGCATTCCATCTATAAAGCTCCCTTTGTAACTTTCCCCTTAAATCCCTCTTGGATTCCCAAGGATTGCGTCCTCCATTCAATAGATCCATGGACTGCAATAACAGCGTGAGGATGCTATGGATGCATTCCAATTGCAACCATGGTTCCATCGGGCCAGGATCTACTACCAATGATGATAATGATGATAAAGATTCTGTTCGAAAGAGTGACCACAAGGCTTTGGCTTGCGATCGATTGGCGCAGACTTTGCGACACATCAACAGCAGTTCCAAGCGTGGGTCTGCGAACGAGGCATCTTCCCAGTCCAGAATGGAGGACACGTGAAGAGTACTGTTGGATTCTTCTTCCTCCTTGTTGTTGTTGTTGTTGTTGTTTTGTGTCGTCGCAGTCTTGTAAAACAACAAATTTTGCGGTTGCAGGTCCAAGTGTACCAACACTGGAGACATGGGCGGAATGTTGGACAGGTGTTGGGGCAGAATTCGTGTCACTGCTTCCTTGACCGTCTCCAATGCTCTCATCATTCGCTCATCTGTTTGCATTGCAGCATCATTCTGACTGGAAGACCACAGTTCCTGAAATGTATTATGATATTTCTGCACCATTGTGGCATAGTTCTGGGGCTTTGTATCATTATCATCGACATCGTGGGTTGTTACTATTCGTTTTGTATAGAACCGTTGCAGGGGAAGGACAACTTCTTTCAGAATCATAGTCGCATAATCCAGACATTCTTCTACTGGAACCCTTCCCCATCGAGGATGTGGTTCGTCAAAGCCAAATTCATGGCGGACCTTGACCATCCCGTCCAAGTACGAAGAAACTGGTAGTCGGTGATTCTCGTCAAACGAAGTAGAATGAAGGCCAACGTACTCCAATACCGCCCAGCAATGACGACCTGACGACGAGGATGTGTTTTGGTCGTTCAGTTGATAATGTAGTACTCGAGGAATGGTAATATTGGACGATTGATGCTCTTGGAATGCTTGACGAGCTATTTGATAGCCGCGAATCTCCTGGCGTGCAATTTCCACCGGGTCTTGATTCCGATTCAAATTCCACCAATTGGAACCACCTTTCCATATACGAACCGCCAATCGATTTTTCCCTTTCTTCAGACAATCAGACCACTTTTCATCTATTACGCTTGTTGTATCAACGGTGCTTTCAGCTTTCCTGTCCACTTCAATTATGATCACACGTTGTTGTGCGGACTTTGCTTCTTGAGCTGAGACAAAGGAGTATTCATTCTTCAGACATTTCTCCATAATATAGTTCAGAACATCCTGAGGAAGTGAAGAAGTAGATAGTGATACTGTATTATCTGAAGACTCTTTTACCACATGCTGCTGCTGCTGCTGCTGCTGCTGCATCACGAATCAATCGTTCCATTGATATGTTGATTGTTGATGATATATTGGTGGTCCGCAAAGATGTTGAAATGAATTTTCAGGGGCTATTTCTGTACTTTACGGAGCTCTGTAGTTTACGGAGCTCTGTACTAGTACTTTGAACTCAGTACATGCCCCTTCATCAGCCATGTAAGTAGTCGGAGGCAACATTAACATATTCATACATACATTATATATTATACACCCTAGATTGCAGCAACTAGACTGAATCTTCAAATTCAATAATCTTGATTTCGAGATTCTTTGGAACGTCCTGCTGCTCGGCTCCACTGGGGAGCCCAAGAGGTACAGGTGCCAGATGATCAGCAATGATGCTTTCCTCGGCTTTTTGAAGCACATCTGAAGCGGCTATGGACAAAGAAGACTTATCTCGAAAATGGCTACTGGAATTGCTTCCATTTCCACTTTCATCACTGCGTGTGTGCCCACTGCAGGATGGCTCCTCTTCTTCTTCCACTGCTGACTTTTTGTCCGAAGCATTCGCAACCTCGTCCTTTGGTTCCACAGATTCTTCGCTCCTCGAAAGTCGGTACATAAGAAAGGCGGCAGCCGCGATGATTACCACAATCATCACACCTCCAAGAGCTGGTAGAATATGAGACGACGCCGAGGGCTCATCTGGAGGAGTGGCTGAATGCTCGCAAAATTCCAAGGCCCCCACAAGACTACAGTCCAACCCCAGCCCATCCAAAACGTCGGAGATGATATTGAAGGTAGAAGCTCCAGTGGATGACTCAAATTTAAGCTCCTTTCGCAAGACAAAGGTGGATTCCATAAAATTGGCAGCTTCTTGATCAATCTGCTGGATTAGTGGAAGCAGGTTTTTTGAGTAGACGTGCGCTTCAGCGGCATCTTCTTGCGTACGACCAGGCGTGGACAATTTCATCGCGGCACTCAACAGTCCTTGGACTACCGGAACCAGAATAAGAGCTTGAATCTCCTCTGCGGCGGCTTTCAATCCCGCGCAGTTGTTGCGTTGAGCAGCCACGCGGCCATCATTCAAAGCACTCATCAACTCCGTGTTGACCAAAGCCATGCCATCGTTGGAGCAAGTGGCAAATTCAGAACAGAGATTTTGAGCCAAGTCGTAAATAGTGTACCAGTTCGATGAGTCAACTTCTCTGGATCGATCCAGGCTTCCAATCAGAAGCGCTGCAGCTGAATTCCAGGGTTCCTCCACCACCTCGCTATCAGATCCATCGCATATGTTCACAGCTTCAAAAATGGTATTGACTGCCGTATGGCCTAGTAGAATAGTTTGACTGAACCGGAGAATTGAGACTCTGGCTTCGGTCTGCGAAAGTCCATTTCCCATAAATGCAAATCCATCCAACACCATATCATGAGCATAGGTCAATGACTTGAAGTATTCACTATACAAGGCGAACCTTGGGGCTGCCGCAGGCAACTCAGAGTTGTGTGCAAGACTCAAAAGACTAATATTGGAATGCTTTCCTAGGAAGAATATATCTTCTGCCGCCTGCTTCGAACCCATTTGAAGCATGATATCAATATCGCGCAAATCCAAATCCAACCTTGAGTACTGAAAGATGAAAACATAATGGATCAGTATCAAAGAAACGAGAAATGAACAAAAGTGGTATGCGAGATAAGCGTACCTTCAAGAAGTGATCTCCAAGATTGCTGGGATTCAGCACGTCGGAACATCTAGAATCGTTGGCTGATGCATCATCTTTGTGGATACCAATTTTCGAGCAATCCAGATCAATGCATGGTAGCATGTGATAGATTCTATCAATGATTTCATCAGCGTCATAGTTGGTGCCTTCTGCAAGAGTTTGTTCAAAGAAGTAAACATCGGCAGGATTGCAACCTGAGACCAGAGGAATAACACTAGCAGAGTACAGGCGGACTAGGTCTCGATCGTTTGTCTTGAGGCCGTGAATAAGTCCTTGTATAAGGGGAATTTTCATCTCAGCAATGACTTTGTTAATTGACGACATCAATGACTTGGTCTCGCAACCGTTGGTAAGAATCAGTGCTTTTGTTAAGTCCAACAGGTGTAGAATTGAGTCATTGGGGTTATGAATGCTGTTGTAGTGCGTGGCAAGGTCATCTGTCAGAGCATACCACAGGTTCCCAATTTGGTCATCGCTTCCATTTTCCATTGTTGCCTCGCCAATCCAATAGGCAGCTGCAACGTCGAGACCGTAAGCAACTGAGATCGAATCCGCTGTGTCTGCCTTGCAAGTCTCAAGCGCCATGTGAAGACTGTGTGCCACACGCATCCAAACAATGGAAACAAGGATAGACTCAGCTATCACTGGCGGTGATAAATTCATATCAAACATCATTTCAACGAAAGGGTTTCCAAATGCAGAAACTTCTCTTTCCGATCCCTTCACAGCTGTTTCATAATGCAAAAACAGGACATGAAGCGGGTCGCTGAAGAAGTCAGCAGTGGTGTATGTTCCGAGACTCTTTAAACTGGTACTGTTTTCGTTCATCTCACCACCGTATCCGATGAATGAATGCATCCCATTCTCGTAGATGTTGCGCGCTTCAGCTTGTTTGCCATCAGCCAACTTGCTCTTGATCTCACAAAGATCTGAATCAATAATTCCAATGTTCTTCACATACAATGGCAGTGCATACTTGTTGTGTTGCAAGGCACACAAGGTGGGGTAAACAAGATTGCAGTCAATGCCTAAGGCTGGTAGGGCAAAACCTATTGCTTCATAGACGCGAAGTGTTTCTTCAACCGATTCCTTTGAATTTTGAGTCGATTCAAATGCGTTCTCAACCGTGTACGAGCTCGTCGTATTTGTAGCGTTCAATATCGGAAGGATCGATCTTGCATAGACAAATCCTATAAGAGCTTCCTTTCTCGGCTCTTGTGTTAACTTACCGGCAGCACTGCGGATGGACCCAAGTACTCCTTGCAACAAGGGGACTTGAGCCAAAGGAACTATTCCCGAGTCAAGAATGCTCTTCGCAATTTGACAGTTGGAATCGGCCAGATTCTTGCGAGCCTTTTTGAGGAGCGGAATCAAGTATTTGTTAGATCTTGACTGTCCCATTTCGTCACAGACATGAAATTGGGAGCAGAGGGAATTGCTTAATGACCTCAATAGGAAGCCATCAGTTGATTCTACATCGCTCGAAAAGGCATCAATTGCTCCTGTATACAGAGCGACCCCAGAGTCCCATTGATGTACTGATTCCTCTGTCGCTTCAAAGTAGCAATATCCGATGGCTGCTTGAAAGAGCCCAACTACCGCCGGCAAAGCCACCATAACTTGCAGGTTACGAACAACAACTTCCGAAGATTCAGCCCATGATGCGTGCGAGAAACTTCCGCTCCTTCGAAAGGCTTCAAACGTCACATTGTTGGCAAAAGATGGGCCATAGTAATCGGCAAGCATATTTGTGTGGTACATGTTTGAAGTCTCGACATTTTTTGCAATGGTGTGGAGACTGAGTGGATCTTTCGAAGCTCCACTACATAGCACATTATCCTCACATACGCTGTGTTTCCCGTAAAGATAGAGATCTTCTGCCGCTTCATCTGCTCCCATTTTCATCAGAATACTGACTTCCAGAATATCCAGGTCGACTCTGGCTAGCTCAGACACATCATTTTCTGCAATGTATCCAACCAATTGATTCCCTTTTGATTTCCATTGAAGTCTCTCGCATAGCTTTGCAGCAAAGGATCGGAATCCTAGATTGGACGCGTCTAGGAAGCCCAGATCACTGCAGGATATTCGTGAGCACTTGAGGAACATTGTCATGTCATCATACGTGGTTTCATTCAGCTCCGAATAAACAAAATTCGAGTAGAACACATCTGCCAAGTTCGAGTGCGTCTTTGGATTACAACCAGCAACAAGTGGAAAAATAGCTCTGCTGTACACTCGCACAGTAGGCTTGTAGTCCTGCCACAGATTCACAAAAAGAATCTGTATCAAAGGGATCAAAGATAGACGAATGATTTCGTTGACCCGCTTCCTCATTTCCAAGAAAGTTTCTTCCCCATCGACACAGTTCCTTGCATACTCCTGTAAAGCATTGAACTCTACTAATAGGCGCTGATTTACATTTGATTCCTCGAGACCGAGATAGGACGATGCGTGTTCTGCAACTTCATATAGCATCCAACCATTCTTCATCGCATGGTCGCTTCTTCCAATCCAAAGAGCAACAGCTTCATCGATGGGCTGGAGTGGATTTGAGGCTGACTTGCATTCATTCACACTCTGATGAAGCTTGTGAACGACCATCAACCACGAGTTGCAAACTATAGCTGCTTCAGCAATCAACGATGTATCTTGTTTCCCCAGTAGTAGGGACTCCACCACCCCATTCGTGAAGTCAAATGACTTCCTATCGCCATCTCCCAACACTCTATTATTCTTGCTGGCGAAGCCGAAGATATTCAGAGTTGGGTCATATCTTGTCTCTGCACCTAGCGAGAACCGGCTCAGTGACGCTAGCGAGAAAAGGCCATGAACGCCTTGTAGAAAAATCTCCCTTGCATTTTCAAGGGTACTGGATCGCAGAATTTCTTGGACATCTAATGATACTGCAGAAAAGTTTTGGAATGTTTCAACAGAAGAGAAGCCAAACAGGTCCAAAGCAAGTTGTTGTGGTCCATTTCCAAAGCATAGCTGCAAAGTGGGGAACTTTGTCAAGATTCCAACGTCTTCGCATCGGATTCCCATTTCTGGTAGAACCGAACCAATGATGCTTCCAAGGTCCTCCACGCGGTCAATATTCGACAAAATGTCAATTCCCTCACCTAAAGTCCTTTGAATCCTTGTAGCACTTGTGCTATTAACAATATCAATCAGAGGAAGTATCCCTTTGGAATATGCCTCTGCCAGTCTTTGGGTGTTTCTGTCGCCGGACAACCAAGCTGCACTATAGTACAGGAATGCCCGAATAAGCGTTGTGTGAAACACAGGCAGCATCTCTTCTTCCCAGAGTTTGCTCAGCGTGCTGCAAAATTGGAGCTCGGCGAGTTCTGCACCTCTCGAAAGGAGCTCAGTAACCATATCCTCAACGTCATCATGTCCACTCTCACTGGGAGATTCAAACAAAGTATTCATTCGTCGAGTCAATCCAAAGAGAGATGTGAACCCGTCAGTCGTGTTCCCTCCACCATAAAAAATCTTTCTTCCTTCGATCGATCCAAAGTAAATCGCAGTCCCTTGATCCCAAAACTTCAATGTCAACTCTTTATCTCCACGTTCGCATTGGTTTATAGATAACTCAAAGGATGTCGCCATGGATAGATACAGAACATTGGCCTGAATATTACCGAGAACAGTGGCTCGAACCTCGTCCAACAAAGTGGTCGCACGAGCTCCACCTCTATTTAAAGTGGACATGATTTCATTGCCTGCAAAGGTAATGTTCATGCGACGGTTATAGTTTCGAAAAATGACAGCTTGAGACGGGTGCTCTGGGAGCTCATAAGAATTTGTAGAGTTCTGACTGCTGGCATTTGGATCCTCCTCCATTGCTAATTGTCCCAAGGAATAGTCCGAGTGGTAGCCGTAGGTGAAAATTTCAATTGAAGCATCGTAGGCTTGCGATTGCAACAAAATATCCAACATTCGCACGTCACGATCGATTCGACTGAAATCTGCTGCCCCCACCCGGGTGACATTGTGACCGTCGACATTGGAATCCAGTTCAACGCTGATGCCACCTTCAGTCTGTAGCAACGACTGTATCTGATCGCAGCCAACATCCTCACAAGACAGTCGGAAGCAACCCAGACCTTCCCTCTGAAAAGTTTCCAGCCAGTCGATTCGAAATTCGTCATCTTCCATTTCCAGCTTCGCTTCATACGAATCAATGGCCAATTCGTCGGCTAGATTGGGGTCGCAAGCGTACAGTCGGGGCATAAGAGCCGCCTGGTATACCTTAAGGAAGGAGAAGTCTGAATTGCGGACAACAGTAGAATCCGGTCTGAAGTGCCTGTTTTGGTTTGGCAAAGAGTTTCCCATCATCGGAAGAAGGTTGTAATACCACAGATTCTGTATCAACGGAACAACCATGAGATCCATAAGTCGTCCAACATTTGCTCGGACAATGTGGTTGGATGGGGAACTCTCCTTGGAGCACTTGTCTAGTTCCTCGCCATGGTGGACCAAATGGTCTCGAATAAAGTTGAAAAGATACACAATTTCATAGTTGACACTGGTGCTACCAAGCCGTTGGCTGGTTTCGTCCGCCAATTGAGACAGCAACATGGAAGAGTTGTCAACCATTTCTTCTTCTGTTGCTCCAAATCCCATCCATTCGAGCAAGGAATCCTCATCGCCAGTCTGTGTTGATTCCTTTATGTTTGATGTATCTGCTTCTTCGAGACCAAACCACAAGGCAGCTGCTCGATCCAAAGCTTTTAGACGGTCACTGGTATTCCAGTTTATGTCGATCTTGCTATCACAATTCGTCGTAGTAACTTGATGAAGAGTGTTGGATATGTACATCCAAGCGTTTAGGACAAGCATGGCGTCCAGGGCCGGCTCCGACTGGATTTCAAGTAGCAAGTCCAGCACAATTTCGTTCGCAAATTCATTTGTTCGTTGCATTTTAGGCTTTCTGGTTTTGAAGTAGTGTCGATAGAGATACAGCATTGGATTCTCGAATTTCCCCGACAAGCGAATTCCATTGTTATTGCCGTTTCTGTTGTTCTCGTCCAGACTATCCTCTGACAGAGCACGCCCAAGGTCCGCAAAGGACAGTGTGTGCCTCAATCGTTCCCCATTCACCATAGTGTACCCAACGCCATGCTCCCCGTGTTTGTATATCTCTTCGATGTCTGCGACCGAGGCCTTTTTCATGGACGCATAATCCTTGCCGAGATTCAATAGGCCTTGAATGTCTTGCTGATGTTCTATGGAAGAAAAGGTTTCATACTTGCCTCCTCCCAATAAAATGGATGCACTTATCAATCGTGCCGGAAGCAATACTAGCAATAGGCGGATCCCCACACGCCATGATCTCTGACATTCCATCATTGTTGTCTATTGAAATGCAGTTGATCGCGAGTGTTGGTGTTTGTTGTTGTTGTTGTTGTCAAGAAGGTTGGTAATATTTCCACGACAACGCGATTGCGACGACAAATCCACAGAAATAATTGCAGAACTGTTAACCTATCCATCTTACAGGATTCATTGGTCGGCCGTCTTCCATAGAGAGCACCTCTATGTTCGATTGCAACGCCATGAGAGGCTATGTGAGTGGAGCGCTTTTTATTGAAGAGTCGCAATTAATCGGACTGGTCGTTGTTTCTGGACTCACACGACTAGACTTGGCCATTTTCACACAGCATATTATTGCTACAATTGCGGTAACCGGAGATTCTCAGACCTGCCAATGCTGAAGGTTCAACCATGGTGATGATTCACCACAACACACAAATAAAAGGATACAGTATGGGTTGAAACGTGGGAGGGCGAAGATCCGCCTAACTCGCCACAAAGAAAGATCCATCAACAAACAACAACAACATCACAAAATCCTCAAAAAGCATCGGATTATTGTGAACGATCGCAATCCCAATTAAAATTGGCTGAATATATAATAAGCCAAAACAAAAAAATTGCACGAAACATGACGACTGCTTTTCGCGACGCCGTTTTTACGGATATTGACACAACCAATAATGCGATGCAAATGGGTGGAAACGGATGCCTAGAATATGCAGATGGTGGTCTGGGTTATTCTAGCATTGTCGCAACTGGTGCGAGGAGGACAACCACAAGAGTTGGTCAACGAAATCTTGGAGCGGGGAGACACCAACGAAATTGTCCGACTCTTTGTTTTGACCTTTGTGATTCGCAACACTCGAGGTGGAAAGGCCGAGAAGAAGCTATCGTTTGATGCGTTTCTCCACCTTTTGAAGCACTACCCAGAAACCGCAAAGGCATTGCTTCCCATGTTTGTTCATTATGGATACTGGAAAGATTTTTTGTTGCTCATGGAAATGGCCAAGGAGCATTCCTATTATTCTGCTCTCCGAGATGGTGTCATGGAACTCATGAAGCATCAGTGGCACAAGGATATGTCGGCGCTTGGGAAATATGAGATGAAGCTCCGCGATGCTAGTAGGGATGAGACTGCAACGGATAATCTCAAAAAATGGGGCCTCGCATCAGTCGCATCAGTCTCTTGGCCAAATCGCTTCCCCGAGAAGGAAAGGCTTTGGATAAGAAGATTGATTTCGTGAAGGAATTCTCCAGGCTGGTCTTTCCTGGAGCGATGACCACCGCATCGGAGGATGCCTGGCAATCCATGGCCAAAAAGCTTTATCGTAAGCAGCTGACTACCCGAGTTGTTGGCTGCCCAGTAAGCCGATGGGATTGATATTGCCCGTGTAACCTCCAAGGCGACCAAGCTCCTATCGCATGCCTTTTTGAACGAGAACAAGCAAGGAGGATTGCGATCGGAGGATGCCAAGCGAATGCGACATGCTTCTGGATACCATTGTGAAGAAGGGCTTGAAGGGTGGCCAAGTCTTTTCTCGCGAGATTGTAAAGACAATCTTGAACAACCAAAACATTAGTCCTGCAATGAAACTGGCATTGGATTCGCAGTGGAAGGATTTGTGGGCCGGGATTGTTAAGGATGTCAAAGCCAAGGCTGAGGAGGAAGGCTTGGTCTTTGATCCCTACCAAGATGGTTCCTATGTGCGATGTCAGCGGAAGTATGTATGGAACTCCAATGGAGGTCGTGATTGCTCTTGGTATCGGAATCTCGGAAATTACCCACGAATCCTTTCGCAACACGGTTCTGACTTTTGACGCCACTCCGCAATGGTTCCGATTGGAGGAAGGCGACACCATTGTGGACAAGGTGCGAAAGTTGGGGGCTGCCCCGTGGGGAATGAACACGGACTTTGCCAAGGCCTACAACCTCGTGTTGGACGTTGTCGAAACGAACAAGCTTAAGCGCGAGAACATGCCGTGCCTCATTGTCTTGTCCGATATGCAATTCGATCAAGCTTGTATTGGAAGCCCTATCACAATGTTCAAACACATCAAGATATCGGTCAAGAGGGTGGCCAACAAGCTTGGATGGGAGGATGATGCTCCATCTGCCATTGTGTTTTGGAACTTGCGAAACACTGGGGGGCACCCAGTGGACAAGGATGCTGAGGGGGCTGTGATGTTGGGTGGGTTTTCTCCCTCCCTCCTCAAAATGGTGATGAATGGGGAAGCTCTAAATGAGGAGGAAGCGGAGGGTGTACAAAAGGATGGCACAGTCAAGGACAAAAAGGTTCGTGTGACACTCCTCGAGCAAGTGGTGAAGAAGATGCTCGATGACTCAGTGTACGACCGTCAGAAGTTTTCTTGCACCTCTTCGTAATTCTGTAGCGAGACTGATCTTGGGAAATAAAAAGCTTCGTAATTTTAGAAAGGAGTGTCAACATTTTTATCCCTCCGGATAATACATACCGCAGCATTGAACACTAATAAAGTTCCCACCAAATCTCACCAAATATGGAGCCAGCCTTGCCTATTTCAAACAAGATCGGAAAGCCTGCCAATCAGAAAATGCTTGGCGTGTCTTCTCCAGCTTGTGACAAGTCAAACATCGTGAAAACACAAGTCCAGCGATTTTTAGAGGGAAACGTGCTGCAGTTACCCTGTATATGAAAAACATGCATGAGGATATTCGCAGTCGCTAATTCAATGATAGCAGTAGGAAAAAGGAGGGGGGAAAGATAATAGTAATCAATGGTCTAGACTAGAGCTTATTCAGTTTCCTTCATCTATTCGTCAAGTAAATTTGTCTTGATAAATTTGTGTTTTGAATTCACAGTCGTAACTAAATGTCTTGATGTCACCGTCGTAACCCAATAACACGGATGAAGCGGAAGAGAGTTCTCTGCTATCCTTGTTGAATCCAAAGGTTCTGTTTCGAGAAGTGTTCGCAGAGGGCGACCCGATCCATCGTTTCGGTGGACTGGATGATTGGATCTCATCGGAAGGGACACCATCCATGGTATTTCCCGTGGTCTTGCGAAGTGCAGTCTCCGGAGAATCCTAGATCATCACCACCACTACATCCATCGGATTAGAATAACGCATCATCTATTCATTCTCATAGTGTGCATCATGCCATAATGACGCTCATTGGCAGATCTGAAAAACAATGATGGATCACAACAAATGACCAAATGACGAGAACAATTTTAAATTGAACTTTATCAAATACCGCGCGTGACTATTCAGGTCTATATAATATATAGAAAGTAAGCCTGAATCCAAGCTGTTTTGATGAGTACAATATTAGTGTTCAATGCTGCGGTATGTATAATCCGCAGCGTCTGCCAGCTTCCAACGGATTACGAATTTGAGGCTTCAGTGAAGGTTGGTAGGGTTTGTACGTAGTTACATAATTTACATACGGTATTTTGGAATTCGTTTTCGGATTCGTTGACCGTGAGTATTGGCCTAAGACATACATATATTGTGTCTGACGACTTTCCTATTCAATACCAAAGTCTTGATCAAATTATATCTCTTAATTGTTGAATCACGAAACCCTAAGTAGGCGTTGACAAGCCTCTATTAAAGCTTCTCATCAGGTTTCTGACGTTACGTGAGAAGATTGCATAGGTTTTGTGCAAAACAGTTTGGTTTGCTCACAATTTTGCATTCGCTCAATCGTCGTAACATCCGCCAAGCATCCAAAAGGTACGATCCTTCAAATGTTAGTTGGCATGTCAAACTGGAGAATGCTGCAGTTCGAATCTCACACCACCCTTTGCTCTTTGCCCCGCAGATTCAATCCAAATGACAGCAGTCGATCTTAACAACTGGTTCTCGAACTATCTTGCAACCACCGAGTATCCCGGTGACTTTCGCAATCACGTACAACCTACTTGGGTCGTCTCTGCCAACGATGTTGTTGAGTTGGGAAATGTCAACGCTGCCCCTTCTGTCTTTTGCAGTGACGTCCCTGCTACTGGATTTCATATGGAAGGAAAGTTGAAGATTCAACAAGATACTAGCGATGATGACTATGTTGGATTCGCTGTTGGCTTCGAGAAAGGAGACTTTGCATCTGAAGATGCCTCTTGGTATCTGCTTGATTGGAAAAAGAACGGCCAAAGCTTGCCCGGTCGCTTCAATGGATGCGGTGGGGGTATGACAGTGGGGAACGGTCTTTCAGCCTCAAAGGTCACCAAAAAAGCTGTAGAATCGGAGTATTGGGCGCATGAAGACTTCTCTTGCCCCACTTCGCCTGATGCTTCCTATACAGGTGGTCTCACGGAATTGCTTCGTGCAGCGACCAAGGGTTCTACTGGATGGGTGAAAAATCAAGAGTACGACTTTTGCCTTGAAGTCTCATCCACATTCATCAAGCTCACTATCGATGATGTAGAAGAAATCCTAATCAACAAAAAAGTTGATGAGGAATTTGCCGTCAAACAAGACAGCCCATTTTGCTTTTACACTTTTTCGCAAGACTACCCAATGTGGTCTGATATCACCATCGAACCATTGGGCACTCCCGGATCCTGTGGAGATCCTCACTTCAAGACCTGGAAGAATGAGCACTTCGAGTACCACGGACAGTGTGACCTTGTCCTCGCCAAGGATGCCAAATTCGCTGATGGTCTTGGACTTGATGTCCATATCCGTACCGGCTTGGTTCGCTACTGGAGTTACATCAAGAGTGCTGTCATCCGTATTGGCAATGACATTCTTGAGATTGAAGGATCTACGGCTGAGTTCGATTCCGAGACCCACTACTGGTTGAACTACGAATATCAAGCCGAACTCACTGAGTTTGCTGGTTTCCCCGTCAAGAAGTTCTCTCAACAAGGAACCGCTGTGACCAAGAACCGCATCGAAATCGACTTGAGCTCGAAGTACCCTGGACAAAAGATCGTCCTTTCTACTTACAAGGAGTTTGTCAAGGTCGAATTCAAAAACTCTTCTTTTGAATCCTATGGAAACACCGTTGGTATGCTTGGTGACTACAAGACCGGAAAGACTGTTGGCCGTGATGGAACTACCGAATTCCACGACTTCACTGACTATGGTCACGAGTGGCAAGTCCTTCCTGCCGATGGCAAGTTGTTCCGTGAGGCCGCCCACCCTCAATTCCCCGAGCTTTGCATTGACCCTGAAGATCCCCGAGGACAACGCAAGCGTCGTTTGGCCGAGTCTACCGTCTCTATGGAGGACGCCGAAGCTGCCTGTGCTTCTTTGAAGGATGAGTTGGACCGCAAGGATTGCGTCTACGATATCATCGCCACTCAAGATATGGATATGGTCGGAGCATACTAGGTTAACAAGTGTTCGCCCTGAAACCGTACATCACAACTGACATTGCCAATACTCGAAAATGCGATAGAAATATCTGCAATTTTAATAATAAATTTATACGACGTAATAGTTTGTAATGCACTAACAGGGCGTTTGGAAATATCATATATTGTTTCTCATTTTCACTTTCGAACTTGTTTCTCACGAGGTCTACCTACGATACCTGTAGCATCAACACGTCAGACCAGTGCACTTCGTTCGATGTGGGCCATGTATTTGAATTTTTTTCTGTGCAACATTCGATCTCAAAACTTCGCGTTTCTGAGGGAGGTGTCAACGTTTCTATCAGTACGAGTTGGATTTATTGCGACGAAATCACATCTATTGTTTTCTTTGATTTTTTGATTAATAGCAGAATCTTCAAGACAAATAGTAGATGATTAATTGTTGGTATTTCGAACTTAACCTTCCGATCTTCTCGATCACGAAACATTAAGTAATGGTTGATAGCCTCTAACAATCCTCATTCACGAGCCGTGAAAGGTAGACAAAAGCTTCTCACCTTCTCACGTTACGTGAGAAAAATATTGCTTTTGGTTTCAAGAGAAACCGGAATACAACTCAGACGTTCTCACAATTTTGTCGAAGTATCCACGAAGAATACAAAAGGTACGAGCCTTCAGATGGCAGTTGTCATGCCACACATGAGATTGCTTCAGTTGGAATCTCACCTTTCACCTCACGTCTCACTATTGGCCTCCCAGAATTAATCAAAATGCCCGGAGCAATAGTCGACCTTAACTCCTGGACCCCTTACACTCTTGCGGACACTCCATATGAAGGTAGCTTCTCAGGTCACGGCGTCCCTAATTGGCTCGTAAGTGGCAGCGGTTCCACTGTTGAGCTGGGAGCACAAAATTCAGCCCCTTCTGTCTTTTGCAGTGACGTGCCTGCTCCTGGATTCCACATGGAAGGAAAGATGAAGGTTCAAGCTGATGGTGGCGATAATGACTATTTTGGATTTGCGGTTGGCTTCGAGGGTGGAAACTTTCCAAATGAAGGAGACTTTGCAAATCCAGCTGCTGCTTGGTATTTGCTTGATTGGAAGAAAGCCAACCAAGGATTGAACAATGGCTACAATCCATGTGATGGTAAGAGCATGACAGGGTATGAAGGTCTCCTTGCCTCAAAAGTGACTGGTAAAGCTGTGGAATCCGAGTATTGGGCGCACGAAGACCACACCTGCCCCGCTCCCTTTGAAGGTAGTGTCGAAAAGCTCCCACTAGCAACTGCCGCCAAAGCTGAAAAGAGCGGCGTCGGATGGGTGAAAGATCAGGTGTACAAGTTCTGCCTTGCAGTAAAGACAGATTACATCGAGCTCACTATTGATGGTGTAGAAGAAATCGTGATCAAAGATGTTGTCGTCAAGCCAAACAGCCCATTCTGCCTCTACTCATTCTCTCAAGACGACCCCGAGTGGTCTGATATCACCATCGAACCATTGCCCCCTTCCGGGTCCTGTGGAGATCCTCACTTCAAGACCTGGAAGAATGAGCACTTCGAGTACCACGGACAGTGTGACCTCGTCCTCGCCAAGGATGCCAAATTCGCTGATGGTCTTGGACTTGATGTCCATATCCGTACCGGCTTGGTTCGCTACTGGAGTTACATCAAGAGTGCTGTCATCCGTATTGGCAATGACATTCTTGAGATTGAAGGATCTACGGCTGAGTTCGATTCCGAGACCCACTACTGGTTGAACTACGAATATCAAGCCGAACTCACTGAGTTTGCTGGTTTCCCCGTCAAGAAGTTCTCTCAACAAGGAACCGCTGTGACCAAGAACCGCATCGAAATCGACTTGAGCTCGAAGTACCCTGGACAAAAGATCGTCCTTTCTACTTACAAGGAGTTTGTCAAGGTCGAATTCAAAAACTCTTCTTTTGAATCCTATGGAAACACCGTTGGTATGCTTGGTGACTACAAGACCGGAAAGACTGTTGGCCGTGATGGAACTACCGAATTCCACGACTTCACTGACTATGGTCACGAGTGGCAAGTCCTTCCTGCCGATGGCAAGTTGTTCCGTGAGGCCGCCCACCCTCAATTCCCCGAGCTTTGCATTGACCCTGAAGATCCCCGAGGACAACGCAAGCGTCGTTTGGCCGAGTCTACCGTCTCTATGGAGGACGCCGAAGCTGCCTGTGCTTCTTTGAAGGATGAGTTGGACCGCAAGGATTGCGTCTACGATATCATCGCCACTCAAGATATGGATATGGTCGGAGCATACTAGGTTAACAAGTGTTCGCCCAGAAACCATCCATATGTACACGTACATCACAATTGACATTGCCAATACTCGAAAATGCGATAGGATACATGTTATTAGTATTATATTTTTGAAAAACGAAGCATTTCCCTTTTGGTTGATAATGCCTGAGCAAAGTGCTGTAGTTGGTGTCAAGTATTCGCAAGTCAACTGGATTTGCTACGGTTTCTATAAAATTCAGAAGGTACTATCAGTTTTGGATGATCGCAGTACAGCCAGCCAATACACCAGCAGAGAATCAATGAAAATGTCGCAAAAGCTAGAAGGGCTCAAGGAGGCGGTCATTGGGCTGCTTGTTTATCTTTTGGATGATGACAATAGAGCTCAAATCGTCTTGTTTTTCTTTCGTCTGCCTAGGTTGTATTTTTCAGCTGCTAAATTAACACTACATAACTGTGTTTTTAAAAGGCGAGGTACCGTAATTTCTTCTATCTAATTTCTATTTGTTTAGAGATGAGATGCATATAAAAGCAATTTCGGAAAACTTTACGTCCTACTGCTTGAAATCTTCAATTACATGCATGCAGTAGAAAGGTTGCAATTTGATTGGCGACGCCTTGCGACGTATCTGGATCAGCATGGAAATGGTGACTGCCTGGAAGCGTTTCGCAGACTGCTGGTTTTAACAACTCTTTCACATTTGCAATTGCTGCTTGGGGAAAGGGCATACCATCCTTGGCGAGCAACAAACATGTTTTCGTGTTAGAAGCTGCCACGTCCTGATAAAGCTGATGCACTTGCTCGTCGGTCAGTGACAACATGGAGGCCCACTTGACTCGTTGATCGTGGTGGAATTGTAGCTTTCCGTCGGGCAAGATGCTACTGGCCCAAGTCACTAACTCTATCGCAGTCTCTTGCGAGATATATTGATTCCCTGGAAAGGCTTTGGCGGTGGCACAGCGAGTGGCAATGGCATTCTCCAGGTTTGGATAGGTCGAGGATGGCGGCTTGCCCTTAAGACGCTGCTGGACGTGCTTTTGAAAACTACTGACAACGTCTGCTGCCTTCTTGGTATGTGGGCCCAGCGAATCCAGCAAGATGAGCATGGATGTGGGAAAGGCAGATGCGTACAGAAGGGAGACTGCCCCGCCCATCGAATGACCAATCAAAGCTGGAGGAACATAGGCGTCATCACCCTTCTCGTCATGCCAATGCAACTGGTGAATCGCATCGTGCACATAGTAAACTAAGTCCATCAAGATAGTACTCGCTCCATCAAGGCTCTTGTGGGAGCTCTTACCGTGTCCTGGGAAGTCCAAGACTACCAAGTCCACACGAGGAGCATCGGGAGAAGACGAAATCGAGGCCAAAAGTGATGGCCCGAGTCGTCCAAAGGAACGGCAGTTGTCCAGCCATCCATGCCAACCTAGAATACGGATGGTACGTAGTGGTGATGTTTGTACCTTTTGTGATTCATGAGATGGGTCAAAATTACGAAATCTTTGACCCACTAATCGAATCCCATCTTCGCAGTTCAAGACAATGTCTTCCGGGATTATGCTGTCCATCCTTACTCCGTCTTGTCTTTTCTGTGGCGTTGAAGCTGCAATCTTTGGATCCCGAAATTATGAGCCGTCGTTGCAATTTAATTCAGATCGTGACAGTAGTACTGGTAGATGCGATGGATTCCGAAGGCCGGGAATAGAATAGCATGATGGTGGATGATGTCAAACGTGAAATCGTCAGGTGTCATCGAATTATACTTTAGTCGAACGAATCGAACTACCAAGCGAACATGTTTTATTTTTATATTTCGAAGAGCTATTATAATATAATGGCGAAGGTGGTTTATTCATAGAGCGACTCTTTTTGAAACCTATCTACATGCTAGAACGCTTGGTTTTCCACCGACGATAGGACAACCGAGGTATCAAGGTAACACAACTACAACTTGCTTGCTGTCTCCACTCGGAATTCCACCAACTGCCTCATTTCCAACAAGGCTTCACGTAGGTGGTGGGAAAGCGCCTCTGGGTAACCAGGAGAGGATAGACCAGTTATGCAGAAAACGCAAGATGTCGCTCCAATGGAATAAGCCAATCCAGCTCCGTCGGGAACCACCTGACCATAACCCCACACGTCGATAAAAGGATGCGATAACTGGCTTGTGCTGGATCGCCATTTCTTGGATCGTTGGAACACGGGATCGTTGTATAGTTTCGGTAGCTTTTCATTTTCCGCCGCAACCATTGACAAACCAAAAAAATGACGATCGACTCCCATTGCTGCTGCTGCCATCCGTGTGTATTTGGAGTGTGCCGTGACCGCTTTGGTCAAAAGAATCATTTTTTTGGCTAAAATGGTGGGATTGGACTCACCACCAGTAGACTCTTTCCCCATCATCTCGACAAACGCCTCACTGGCAGTTGAAACTGACCTTGTTACTTCAGTCCTACCATGTCTGGAAGGAAAAGAAATGCGTAAGAGCGATGCCACAAAACTACTGACTAAGAATAAGGGCAGCAGATACTCACTGGAACAAACGAACTTGAGTGGATTCATAGGTACCCACTTGTTCTCCAAAGGTGCGATATGTCGCAAGCTGCATTGCCATTTGTACATATGCATCTGGTGGAAAGCGTGCAACCTTCTTGATGAACGTGCTTCCATAGTCCTCGAAATTTTGGACACGAAGACATTGATTGCTAACGAGTGCGTGAAATGAGGATTTTGCTGTATCGGGAATCGGCATTGATTAGAACTTGAAGTATGAAAACACTAATTGGCTGGACACTAAAGCAGAAACTGTACCTTGTCGAACCAAAATATTGGTAGCTTCCCAATCCATGGTCTGCATTGCTTCTGCAAAGATATCAATGACACGGCCTTGTCCAGCAGCCAGGGTAACAGAGTTGTAAGGCGCACGATCAAACTGTTCCTTGGAGATGAAATTGACAAAGTCCACCATGGTTGTTCCATCCATCATTGCATGCTCGGCTAGTAACCCTGCCTTTCCATTGTTGCACACACTGATCTGAATTGATTTATCAAACCATCGATTTTCGCCCGACTTGAGACCACCAGTCAAGAATAGTTCAGCACATTCCTTCCGTGAGCTTGGGCTTTCATCATCCAAGTTCATGCACAAGCAGGAACTCTGGAGTCTTGCGAGTGCAAGCTCCATCAACTTCCCACCTTTTCTAACTAGTTCCCTTCTCTTGTGTGCCCAAACATCGCGATTCTCACTCGTCAAGAGACCTGGAATGCAACTTAATTTAGCAAGGAGAAATTTCTTGGTGATACTGGTTTTGCTTTTGCGAAACGTACCAAGTTTCGGTCGCGACGAGGGAATTCTATCAGCCTTTTCGATACACTGAGTAAGTTGTTCTTGAAGGACCTCAAGGGGCAGTGGATTTCCATGTTCGTCACATAATTCAATGGAAAAGAAATGTCCTTTCCTTGCAACTAGACCATGGGTGAACTTACTAGGATCGTAGATATGATAGCAATCATGATCTTTTCGAGGGATGCGGCATGAGTGCATCATGTATTTGATCCCGACGCTGCACAGCAACGTTTTCTTTTTACCAGCTCGACTCGCTTCCAGGCAACCTGATACAACTTTTTGTCGATATTTCAATGCAGAAAATAAAAGACTGGCGCCCCTTTGCACATTTAAGGGCTTCTGGCTTCGAGCAAGGGCCGGGTCATCGACAAAACCAAAAAAATATGATACGTTGACCACGACAGGATCTCGAACCTGGAGATATCCCAACTGTTCCGTTCAAAATTGAATTCCATACAACAGTTAGAGTCTGTGACCTGTCCAATAATGTACCGTCTCTTCGCCATCTTTACCTGATTCCACCAAACCTGAAGCCAGCTGGTGTCATTCATTTCAGTGTCCTTTCGCTTTACCAAGCGTTGTTGAAGAGATTTGGAATCCCTTGCAAATTCGCTACACGCAATCTTAAGATTGACCTCCTCTTTTTTGGTTCTGTTCCAATGGTATTTGACGTTGATGGTTATGAACGCGATTAGGAGTCAGTTCGAAGCGTTGTGTCAAGATTGGTCGATGCAAAAATGATACCTACCGACATAGAGGAAGAGCTGTAGGAAGAAACCTTGCAATAGTCTCTTCCACAGATGGTATCGGGAGTTTCGGAAGACTTTGCTGGCTGATGAACAGAAAACAACAGATAATGGTATGAGAATAATTTGAGTTCTCAAAGCCAACGAGATCATCACCACTTACTTCTGGTAAAGTGGTCCACTTATGTGTTCCTCCAAAAAGACTTCGTTCCTGTAGTCTCCGTCACATTCATAGACCGGTTCTGGCCAGGTTTTTAGCTTGATTGGTTGCGATGACATCGTTTGGGAAGTTGGCTTCGTTTATGAACGCAACAAGTTGAGATGCATTCATCAAACAATATTTTATTGTTGAAGGTGCATCATTAATCGAAGAAGTCGATCTGCAATTGTCTGACAACTTTTACAGAACCTTGGTGTCATGACGAGCTCCATTTTCTGTTTTGTCGGATACGCAGCTTTTAACACATCGTAAGAGTTGAGACTACTTGAATTTACTAATAATTTCATAATACAACTAGTTTTAAATTTCTAATACCTACGGCTATAATCACCCCGTCGTAGGATTTCTTTTCATGTCATCGATTAGATGATGTCAGGTGTGGAATCTATTCTTGATCTGAGTGCTTGTGCCTCGTCAAAATCATCATCATCGGAAATGATGTCGATAGATGGATCGGTAGTTCCAGTCAGCCTATTTGTCTCTTCCGGACTACTTGGCGCAGTCTTGTTGTTTGAGAAAGCTTTCTCCAAAAGGTTCATAGAATGGTTGTTGAATTCTCCAGTGGACACAATAAACTTTGGATTGTTCTCGGGTAAAGTTTCCTTTTCTTGCTTCCTCAGGCAGAAGAAGATCAACGCGCCTAAGAGCAGCAAGCAGCCAGCTCCAACCCCGCTCCAAAGCAATATCGATCCAGTAGAGCCCGAGTTTGTGTCTTTCGCTACTCCAGAACAAGGGTTGAAAGCATCAGTTCGCCCAAGCAACTCGCAATCGACTCCAAGTCCGGGGTATACACTGGAGAATGAGGAGAAGACTTCTGATGCAATTTGCGTTCCCTTTGCTGGCTTTCTATCGCCGAGATTCTTTTCAATGACGCCTGCGGCATCGCGATTAACGTCGTCGACAAGGGGAAGCAACGCGCGGGAGTACACGTATCCTTCGGCTCGTCTCAAGGGCGCAGTTGCGGCGTCGTTTTCTTCTGTCAGTCGGATTGCTGTAATCAATGCCCCTTGAATAGATGGAATTAAAATAAGGGAGGCAAGTTCACCAGCAATCTTTTGCAAACCGGAGCAGCTGTCACTCAGCACGGCCCCACGACCAGCGTAGAGGAGGTCAATAAGCTGGTCATTGACGTCGACAGAACCAGTCGAAGAAACGCAAGTATTAAAAGCCTCGCAATGCTCTTGAGCTAAGCTGTGGAACAAATATCCTTCCGGTGTACCATTTGCATCGCTGCCCTCCAAGCTGCCAACTAAATAGGCCGCAGCTCTATCCCAAGCATCAGACTTTGTGGTGCTCGATCTCGATTGGACAACTGTAGAGCAATCTGATACCGCTTCGTAAGCTGCTTGAAGTGCTCCAAAGTACATGACAATGGTCTGTGCTGCCTTCAGGACTAGAACACGTCGTTGTTCGCCACTCCAAATGCCATCTCCTCGCAAAGCAGCTCGAATGATCTTGTCCACGTATGATTTGTCGTCATAAAATCGAGTAAAAGCATCATATTGCGGCACAATAGATCTTCCAGATGTTGTCGCAATATTGGACAAGCTGAGTATTCCCCCATTCGGATTTTCCACGTTCCTGCCGTACATGTATGTTTCTTCCGCTGCCTTGTACGCATTCATCTGCATAAGGATATCAATCTCACGAAGGTCGAGGTCAATTCTCGAGTGCTGAAAAGGGAAAGAAATAAAGCATGAGCTGAAAATAGAATGGAAAAGGACATGTGATTCGTTGAGTACTTACGTCGCTGACATCATTCGCCGGTGTATAGCCCGCAAGATTGCCTCGGACGCCTTCATCAATACAAGAGGGCGCCTCATCGTTCACTTCACTTGCATGAACACCAATATCATCGCATTTCAACCCTAGACAAGAGTAAACGCTTCGGATTTTGTCAACAATCTTCTCGATCTCAATAGCATTGTAATTACCAGTTAACAGGCGATCTCTGAGATATTCAAAAGTAGCTTGGTTACAGCCTGCAACAAGAGGAACAACTGCATGTGCGTACAATTTGACTCTTTCGACATCATTTGCTCGCAAGTAATGGATGAGACTTTGGACCAATGGGATCGAGATCACTGATCGAATCTTGTTCACGGTATGCCGAATGTTGAGGTACGTAGTTGGATTCTCCGAACATGCATTGGGAAGTGCTAGCGTTGTTTTTGCTTCGTTGAATAGCCTTAGCACATTCCTATTGGTTCTTGATTGGCCACCTTCCAATATATTGAAGCGAGAGCCCATATCTTCTGCTAGTGCGTATAGCAAGTGGCCTTTCGTGTCTTCTTCGGAGTCCAAGCCCTCACCAATCCAATAAGCTGCAGCAATGTCCATCGATTGAATTCCTTCCTCGTCTCGGAGTTCCTTCTGCTCACACAGTGAAAGAGTGCGATAGAGCTGGTGAACAATTTCCATCCAAACATTCAAGGCAACAGCAGCTTCAGCAGGCAAAGTCTTGTCAGAAGCCACAATATTCTGGAATGCATGCTCTACATACGAATTTGCGTATTCTCTTGCATCAATTTGCTTGAAATTGCCATCATTGTCACTGAGGGTGTACAGGTACATGTTGAATATTGGCTCATCGACCATATCCTTGGATGATTCAAGCGAAAAACTTCTCAAGGACCTCAGGGCGACATACTTTCCATCTGTGTCGAACACTTCTGAGTTTTCTCCATTCTCATAGATGCTCTTCGCTGTGTTGGTATTCCCCGCTGTCAATTGTTTCTCCATATCGCGAATATCGAGTCCAATCTTTGCTTTGTCCTTCACAAACGTACTTGTGACGTACAGATCGTCGCCAAGACTTGTCGGTGTCTCTGGCACAGGTATCGCATCGTTATCTTTTTCTCCGTCACCACCAGCATCTCCGTCACCATCTGCGTCGATGCCTCCATTTGGACCACATTTTGCCCAATTTGGATCTCCATTCAACGTTCCAATTTCAGTACAGCTAAGACCCAAGGGACGGATGACAGAAGCAAGTGCATCCACCACAGGTTGAGCAGACTGGCCGAGGGTAATTTGCTGGAAACTGCCATAGTTATTGGCCAGAGTTAATGCACTGCCAGTGCTAACTTCTTTCACCAAGGGAATCAACGCTTTCGCCAGCACGTGGACTGTTGCGTGCGAATACTTGTTATCAGCAACTGGATTCTCATACTCTATCGCGTTAACGATGAGAGCTTGAATGAGTGGAATGGCCATTCTTGGTATAATTTCTTCTGTCATGGTTCGCTCAATGTGCGTACATTCGGAACCGCTCAGAGAGTCTCGGCCAGATGCGAAACTGGAAAGGAGGTTTTGATTTACCAGAGATTCAGCGTTCTCAGCGCAAGCCTGAAAGTCACCACATACATCATTTGCGAGCGAGTACATGAATCTTCCGACATCAAATTTTGCTGCTGCAATGAGCCCTTCTGCAGATCCAATCCACAGCGCGGCAGCTTCGTTCCATTTGAGCTCTGCCAATCCAGCTTTGCCATCTTTGCAATCGTCTACCGCCTCTTGCATGCGTGCCTGAACTGCCATGTATGAAACCATGGTTTGCAGTGCTCTTGAAACAATTTCAGAGCGCTCCTGCCACGATGCTCCCACGTAGTCACCACTCTGGTTTAGTGCATCGAGAACGAGCTTATCAGCAAAATCGAGACTACCGTAGTATTCACTGTAGAGATGAAATTTTGCCATCTCATCAAGCGATGACATTCGAGCAATGGACTGCAGGTCTCGAAGTGATCCGTCAGCCTTCGCAAACGAATGGTGCCCGTTTTCATAAATGTCTTGGGCAGCTTTGAAAGCTCCAAGCTCCGCAAGCATCTCAATCTCAAGAATGTCCAAATCCAGCCGTGAAATTTCAGAAACATCCTTGCTTGGAATGTACCCAGCCATTGGGAGCTCCATTCCTTGATTGTCCCAGTAATCAAGTTTTTCGCATAATTTTCCAACAAGTTCTTTCAATTTATCACTATCCGCAGTTTCGCTGACCCGAATGTCTTGGCAAGTGATTCGCTTGCATCGAAGAAATGTGGCCAGATCACCAATGACGTCGTCATCAACTTTGGCATACGTGTACCCTTGATACAATACACTTTCAAGGTTGACAGCCGCGTCACCATCACAGTTGTAAACTTGCGGAACCACCGAAACTGCATACAATTCAACCATATTCTTGCTGTTCGCCACCATATGGAACAGCAACGAATTAACAAGTGGAACTGCAAGGCGCCGTAGGATGTGAAGAGCATGTGCCCGAAAGTCGGTTGCAGCATCAGCTCCTGAGGGGCAAGCTTGCGCAAGATCTTGGGCCTTATTCAGCATATTCATCAACTGGGTGTTAATTGGTGCCTCACCTTCACTAAAGCCATAATACTCCGCTGCTGATTGACCAATCGAGTATAGCATCCAACCGTTGTCGAATTCTGCTTCCGCCTGGCCTTCTCCAATCCAGAGAGCGACAACTGAGTCAAGCTCCTCAAAAGGAGACTGCTGCTGTTTGCAAATGCGCACTGCTTCGTAGAGTCGATGTGCCATCAACATCCATACATTGAAAATGACAGATCCTTCGGCTGCCAATCTCATGTCATTCCCATTGGTCAGAGCCTCTTGGATGACGTCGTCGGCATATTGAAAGTTCTGTTGTGAGTTTTGCCCAACGTCTTTATCGTCGTAGAGTGCCCATTTGAATACATTAAACAGAGGATCCTCACTCATCACGGCGGAGCTGTCGACACTCAAAGACTTCAAGCTAACCAAACCATTTGTTCCATTCAAGTTTTTGGTCAAAGCATTCAATCCATTAGTGTAAACGCTTGTCGCAGCTACAATGTCAGCAGCTTCGTACATGGCACGAACATCCAAGGCAAATTTTGCATCTCCAAGAGCAACTGCTGGAACCGAGAAAGAGTACCTGCCCCACGCAATAGCACCGGCAGAACCTGGTTCGACAGGCAGCGGAGCTCTGGTTGGCGCGGTCACTGGAGTCGAACCTTCACCAGGAAAGTTAGAATTGCCACCTCCTCCTCCCAGACACAGACTGGCATCTCCAGACTCGTCAATGAAATCACCAACCTGGTTGCAGTCAATATTCATTTTTGGAATGGCCGACCTCAAAGCATCAACGACAGTAGAATAATCTCCAGGCTTGTCTGTTAATGAGAATTCCATAGCAGCTTGGATCTTTCCAGCACTAGTAGCATCTGCTACATCAACCAGGGGAAGGATACCTTTCGAGAAGGCATCGGCAATTGCCAAGCTTGGTGCATCGGAACCAGCAGGAAGTCTTGAAACGAAGGATGCATATTTCACGGTACCTTGAATGATGGGAATCGGCATGGCGGCAAAGATATCTTGAGTAAGAATATCACCCAAGAAATTGCATTGCTGCCCTTCAATTCTTTCGAGCCCTTGATTCAAACCGGCGACAATTAGTTCATTCGACATCGCTTTTGGAATATCGGAACCGCCAACTTCGGAATCATCAATACAGGTACCAAACTCTTCGCACAAGTCTTTGGCAGTCGAGAAGAGCAAGAGCCCCCCAGCCGTATTTCCTTCAGGTAGCTCTCCTTCCATTGATCCAATGTAGAACATGGCACCAGTATCCCAATAATCAAGTGCTGTCTCCTTATCCGTTTCGCACTGATCAACTGCATACTGGAAAGCTGCACCTGCCGAGAAATACATGACAACATTGCTGAGATAGTTGGTCAATAGCCATCGAATTTGTTCGTCTGATGCCGCATTGTAGGGTGCTTGCTGCTCTATCAATTTCATAATGTACCTGTCGGCAAAATCGGCTCCACCATAATAGTCGGCAAAGGTTTGAAACATATTTTTCCCAGCCTTGCTGCTAGTTGGAATCACTTCGTTCTTTGCCAGTCCTTGAAGGTTGTAGACAGAGTTCCAGCCATATTCGTACCAATCAAGAGCTAATCCGTAGGCCTTGAACTTCATTAGAACATCAATAGTCTTGATATCCCGGTCGAGATAACTCTTTTCTCGGATATCTTCACGACTGGAAGTGTAGCCAACAAGATTGACACCCGATACATCGTCACATTGCGGACGCTCGCCACCTCTATAGGAACCAACGTCTGCACAGGTGATTCCAAAACAGCTATAGGAACGTTCCAGAGCAGCAAGTGCTTGGTTGGCATAATCTGGGGTCATTTCTCGAAGGACATCCAGGTGAAGAGTTTGGTCGTAGTCTTCAGGGCTGCAAACGGCAATGCGAGGAATAGTAGCCAAGGCATACAGCTCAACCCAATCGGCTCCGTGTTCAATACTGACATTTAAGGTGTAGTGGATCAAGTTTTGAACCAGTGGAATTGTCATCAATGAGACCATTCTCCGAATTTGACCACGAACGTTAAGGTATCCAGTCAATTCGCCACACTTTCCAGCTCGTAGATCCTTTTGAATTTCGACAAAAAGATCCACAATCTTGGAGTTGACCACAGCTTCACCATTGTCTTGGTCGAATCGTTCTCCAGCATTCTCCGCCAAATTGTAGAGCAAATGCCCACTATCGTTGACGCCAGAATCCTGTCCTTCTCCAATCCACATCGCGGCTGCCTTATCGAGTGCTGCTAGTCCCATGTTCATATTGTTCGCCTTACATTGGCCCTTTACTTGGAACAGCTCATTGATGACTGCCATCCACACGTTCAGTACCACGGCAGCTTCCGTTTCAATTCCCTCTACATCCAATTCAAACAAGTCATTGACAAGTGTATCCCCATATTGTTCGATGGTAGCACCGTCGAATCGGCCTTCCGTTTCTCCCTCTTCGGCATTTCCAAGAACCAAAAAGGCATGACGAAACATGTGAAAGTATGGATTCTCAAGCATATCCCCCATTGCCCTCAAACTCAGTGCAGCCAACGAGACGTCAACACTAAAGTGAAGGAACAAAGTTGAGATAAAGTGATTCAAGAACGCACGCCACAATATTGACTAGGAGAGACAACACTCACCTCGCTTCATTTTCCCGCTCGACCCCGGCTGTGTAAATTGCCTTCTTGGTGTCGAAATCATCCGATTCCTTCATTTCCGCGGCATCCAATGCCAGATTCAAAAAGGTTTGGACATCTGTTGTCGTTTCGAATCTACCCCCTAGTAACGTTATACAATCCACGATGAAACATTGACATGATAGCAACGATAACAGGAAGATGCTCCTTCTCATTGTCGTCGGAGACATCATTGTTTTGTGTGTGAGATGTGATTTGCGTTCTGATGAAACGTGACCCAAACGGCAGAACTTGTGTGTGCGTTTGTGTTGTTAGAATCAATGAATCAATCAGTAATTACTTTCGTATGCTGTTGCAAATACGGTAGTTCTACAGTCCAGTGTTTGCAGTTGCCGCTGCTGCTGTTGCTGTTGGTCGTTCTTCTTTTGCTTCTTCCGTGGACAGGCTCTCATGGGGCACGCAACGCTCAAAGCGGGTTAGCGGTTGGAAATCAGAAAACTGCCCTCGAATCGCCACGACCCAAAAACTAAAAGACAACGCTTCGTCCTAAGTAAATTTTTGTGCGACATGAAAACCACGGTATTGGAGGACGTACTAGAGATATGGAGAAACTTTCGTCGTAGGGAAACCTGCTATTACGAGTTGTCATATCGCATACGACACGATACATATGGCAATTACAATGGAAAATGATCGAATGTGACCGTTGTGCTTCCGCACGCCGGACGGATGAATGAATTGATGTGCGGGTACTGGTAGAGCTTTTTTAGTTTCGGTGTGGGACAAAGTTTCGCGCGATATCTTGCGCACATCTCTCACGCATGCGAACGAATAATGAGTGAGTTGGTTTCGCTCGAACGGCGACGTGCAAAGAACCGCCCATCTGTCTGGCATTCTGCCGTATCGAATCATTCGACTTACGTGCGTGGTTGTTGAGAAAATTCAGTACATAGTCTACATACGCAAAGAACTCTGAAGAAAATAGCTGGTACTGGCCTACGGAACCTACTGGCCGATCTAAAACCTCAACTTGACACCCCTTCGTCACATCCGATCATAATATCCTTATCGACAATTCCTATTCAGACAATTACCAAGATGAAGTTCACCCTTTTCGCATCCCTTCTTGCCACCGCTGCTGCCTTCTCTGTTAACAAGGCTGATATCCAAAAGGTAAGCACATTTGAAA